AAAATATATCAATTGCCAAAATAAATAATAAAATAACATCGATCAACATATTCAACAATTTTATAATTGAATATAGGGTAGTTTAAAACATGCAGGTCCATAAATATATATGTATTGTTTGTAAAAATAAAATATGATGTAGGAACAGGGTTGCCAGGTCAAAAATTTCAAATTGTGGGAGAAATTTGGTATTTTGCGGGAGAAATATGAAAATTGTGGTAGAAATATAAAAACTGCTAAAAAAAATTTTTTGCCGGTCTTCGGCAGGGATTTTGAATTGACTTAATTATCCGCCTATTATTTTTTATAATTAGTTTATATAAATACAATGTCGGTAACTGTTTTTCAAAATAAAATAACATCTTGATTTATTAAAATATATATTAATTTATAAAAAAAAAAACAAGATAAAATTTTATAAAAAAATAAACGATTTTAATTTTACGATGTAAAAAATATATTTTATGCGAATGTCCCCCACAAAACATCCGCAATTGGAAATCTACCTTGTGTGTGTGTATAACATTATAGGGATTCACGTATCACGTTTAAATACATAATAAGGTAATATTGTACTTATTTCAATGATAATTATTTTATTTATTATTGTTCAATCATATTATTATAATCAGTGCAAGAGAGTGTATCTACATCCATTGCAAAACAAAAATATTCTCCAAAAATAAGAAATAATACAGATGCAACTACAGTTACGGCAATTGTAATCACTTATCTTGTAGTACAACATTCACAGAGCTACTTATCATAACAATGTGCGTAGAATCTTTCCCCATAATATTTAACGACTTGAAAATTTTACTTGTATAAGTATAACAAAAATGAGCAAGGATATCATCAATGTTTTAGAACCTGAATTCAGGTGGTCAATTCTTGACGATTTGAAAGATGACAGATGCATCTAATAAGGGAAATGATCCTCTTCTATTTCAACAAAATTAAGGACGTTTCAAGAAAACGATTAAATTTTTCCCCCTTAAATAGTGAAAAATCCAAAGACATAGTTAACCATATAATGGTAAATATAGCAGATTCGGGATTATCAATAAATTGCATGTCAGCTCTCTGATCTGATAATGCCTCAGTGAATTTGGAAAAAACCAGAGTGTATTTACAGAATTGAGTCAGCCCAATGATGGTTGCGATATTTTCCTAATACCCGCCATCGATAAAATCCTAAAATTTTATAAACCTTTAAAAATAAATTTCTTAAATAAAGAATATAAAAGCTCTCCTAACATTTTGAAAATTATTTTCAATAATGAATGGCAGAGGTATATTTAGGATTGGTTTCACATGTAGGAAATCTACTACATGCTGTTAATGTGCAGTTGCAATCAGAAGAATCTTAACAAAGATTCACAAAATTATGCTGCACATGTGTTCATATTTACAGTTAAAAATTGACAATATTTTATGGGCCATTGATAAAACCTTATTAAAATGTTCAAATATTTTAAAAATACCGATAGACATTGATGTCTTGTTTGAGGAGATTGTAATGCTCTCTATTTTTGATTTACAATGTAAAAAATATATTTATTTTATGCGAATGTATAAATTAGATTTTATAAAATATATAAAAAATATGGAAAATTAAATAGATAAAATGTTAATTATATTTTATTTGAGATTTAAATAATGGAACTAAACGTTTACCGACGTTATTGAGATATTTATAAAATTCCCGGCATGACATATTATAAATTTGTTTAACCATTAGCTCGACCTCTAATGTTGTTAAAGCAATCCGATGTCTCTCCTTTTTCCAGGCAGTCCTCATCAGAAAATGAGCTCGGATGAGGCATTAGAATGAGGTAAGGAGAAGACATAATCGCATATTTTTTCCAAGCATGGGGATTTATTGTTATTACGAAATAATTTAACTCATTTCTCCTCTACTTTTAGACCATCAACTTTAAGTATTCTGGCTAATCACAAAAAATATAAAGAATTACAATCTCCTCAAATAAGACATCAATGTTTTTCAGTATTTTTAATATATTTATTAAATTACGAAAACTATCAATTGAAGGTTTCTGTTCCAAGGTCATATTTATACATTTGTAAATAGAGTTATTAAAATCAAATTTTGATTGTAAATATTCTAAAATTGTCATAATAAAAATATCTGCTTCATTTAAAAATGTATTAATTAGAGTATTATTTGAACATTTTAATATAATATTTTTAGCAATAGCGCTATAAAATTTATTATCAATTTTTATGTAGAGATGAACAGAACTGTAGCATGATTTTTTGAATCTTTATTAATAAAGAATATTCTGATTACAACTGAATATTAACTGCATGAAGTAGATTTCCTACATGTGAAACTAATCCCAAATATGCTTCTACCATTTCATAATCCAATAAATTTTTCAAAATTTTAGGTCAGCTTTTAAAATCTTTATTTAAAAATTATTTTTTTAAGGGTTTGTAAAATTTTAAAATTCTATCGATGGCAGGTATTAATGATAACCACCTGATAGATATATATCGCAACAACTCACACTATTCCAAGTCAGACCACTCCACCAACTCTTTTAATTCATTAACTCTTTTAGTTGATGAACTAAATTCGTTAAAACTCATCACAATTATTTTGACATCCACACACAGTACATTCATTGCCTTCTTGCAAGAATCATGTTGTATATGGCTTATACATCCAATTGGTATTTAGTCATTATTGTGCTGCCTCAATTAGGTAAATAGACTTTTGTTTGCCAATATTTACGGAGGCATTATCAACGCAGATAGCTGACATGCAATTCATTGATAACCTTGAATCAGCTATATTTACATTATGTGATTTTTTAACAGTTTTATTGAAATGTTCTTATTCTAGTTGAAATAGCGAAGGATCAAGGGAAATGTTTTAATATTTCCCTTATTAAATGCATCTGTTAGAATTGCGATGCAATCTTTCAAATCGTCTAGAATTGACCTAGGATTCTGGTATTAAAAATAAGTAAGGTTTGCATTTATATTGGAGTCATTAAATATCATGAGAAAAAGATTCGACCAACATTGTGATGATATAGCTCTGTGAATGTTGAACTACATGATAAGTTTATACGATTTCCGCAGCTGTAGTTGCATCTGTATTATTTATTATTTTTGGATAATGTTTTTGTATTGCAATCGATGTTGATATACGATATACTCCCTTGTACTGACTTATATGAATAAAATGATGTTGATTTATTAATGGATAAAAATAAAACAGGATAAAAAGAAATTTACAAATTAGACAAGTTTTTCTAAATATTTAAAAATTATTTGAAAAATATAAAAATAATCAATTACTGTCTCTCAAAATTATTATTTTTATATTAAAAACGTTAAAATACTTTTTAAAAAAATTGCACGTGAAATTAAAAAATTGCGGTAGATTTTTGCGGGAGATTTCCAATTGTGGTAGTTTTACGGGAGAGAAATGTCTGCGTGTAAACTAAAAAATTACAGGAGTCTCCCACTGATGGGGGTGACATGGCAACCAACCCTGTGTAGGAATGAATGTAATTAATTTATATACACTATTCTATTATATAGCTAGAGAATACAATTAACAATTTAATATTCAAATTTAAATAATAACATTTATATAAATAAAATTAAACAGCATTCTAAAAATTATGCACGCCACGCTGCCGCCATAAAAAAAATCAGCGGCGAGCCGGCTTGCGCCGCTGGTCTCAATCGGCGGCTTTTCCGGCGTAAATAAAATTACCGGCGGCGGAGGCGTGTGCCGGCGGCGCACAGGTAGCCCTCATATATATTAATATCTCCTGAATAAAATTGAGCCAAATACTTAATTTAATCGAGATCAAAATTTTATATTTCCTGAAAAAGATGCAATAAAATTGTAAATTAGATAACGCCATTTGGTGAACCAAAAATCTTTCATGAATTTGAGTCAATAATGTTTCCAAAGGGGAAATATTTAATAGTCCTCAATTTATTCCGCTATAATTTTGGAACTATTCTTTTGTCTAGATCTCAAAATCTAATCACAAAATTTTTATGAAATTCATGATCAATATTATTTCTTAAGCAGTTTCAACATAAATATATTGGCGACTCTCATAGTTTCTGCTAAATCTATATTATTCTTTTGAAAAATATTGCTCAAAATTATTGTGCAATTAAATAATTTATTTATATATTCCAATGCAAAAAAGAAAATTTGTTGTGTTATTGAATCTAGTAAAGTATCTGCTTCAGATAAATTTTTGGCTAAGACCATTCAGAATTTCTCCAAGAGTACTCATAATAGTCCCCTCTAGATCCAAAAATGAGGTAACGTTAATTTTTGAAAATAACTCGATTAATATATTAGCCAAGATAATGTTATATAAGCCTCAAGATTTGGCAAATAATCTCCAAGCTTTTCTACCATATATGAACATAATCTCCAGACTTGAATAATGTTATTTTGATTATATTTTAATAGGTTTTAAAAAGTGACCCAAATTGGGCTTTTTTAGAACCTTACTTCTTAATTTTTATAGCACAAGAAGTCTCAAAAATAATTATATTAAGTAAAATTTGTTTCTTTGAATATATCAACATTTTGAATAAACTCGAAAATTTGTCTAATCAATAAAAGAATAGAATTCTACTTAAGCAATTTCTTATACATGTTAGAGAACAGGAATCAGATATGGAAGTCAATTGAATCTGGATGGGGTATTTTCTTCTCTCCGCTAGAGTTATTCGCTTGCTTTTCGAAAAAATTTGCTCTTTGCTTAGGAGGGGGATTTCCTTTGTTACCTTTTATAGTTTTTTAGTCACTTTTTTAGAAATATATTTTTATTACCATTTTTATAGAAATAATTTTTTATATAATATAGTTTTTATCTAGATTGCATCATATTTTCGTCCGACGTGCAAATATATATTCATTACAAACCTTTAAATTGAAATCGTTATATTTGAATAAAGAATTTTACATTTAATTCATTTCTATAGTTTCACAAAATATTGCTGATTTGTAAGAAATTTATCCTCATCAAAATATAATAAAAAAAATTTCCAGAACATGACCGATACAAAGTTATATGATATTCTTGGTGTTAACAAAAATGCTTCAGAAAATGAGATTAAAAAGGTATATTTTAATAAATAGATTTAAATCTTTATTAATGATAAAAGCAATATAGAAAATTAGCCAAGGAATACCATCCAGATAAAAATCCTCATCATGGCGATAAAGTATAATATATTTATTAAAAATATTTTCTCATTAATGACTAGTTTAAAGAACTTTCATTTGCGTACGAAGTATTGACTGACCCAAATAAAAGAGAAGTTTATGACACTCATGGTCTCCAAGGATTACAGGAAGGTGTTTCCTCATCAGATTGTAAAATATCTATATTATTTGATTTAATCTAAAATTATTTATAAAGTTTCATTTGGGGGAGATATTTTTTCTTCATTTTTTGGATCACCATTTGGTGGTGGACTATTTGGTAATATGGGTGGAGGATCTAGAAGAAATGCAAGAAGAAAAGGAGAAGATACTATTTATCCTTTAAAGTATATTATATATTTTTCTTAAAATAAATTTTATTATATTTCTATTTTTTTTCAATATATTAAAATTTACCAAACATTTTTATTGTTATAGCTTTATTACATGACCTTACAATTTTTTAACACTATTCTTCTTGTAAGTAACTAATAGATCACCTCTGTCTTACCCCTCTCTTCTTTACTATGCTAGCTGACTACATAGTGGTACTGTCTACTATAATATAATTGGTATACATCATAGGATCTTGAATGAAATGTTTCTAAATATAATAAATAATATTTTTAAATATCAGAGTCACCTTGGAAGATTTATACAAGGGAAGAGTTGTTAAACTTCAATTAGGCCGAAATGTCATTTGTCCAAAATGTGAAGGGTATATTTATATATAATTATTAAAATTAGGCTTCACATTAGCTATTAAAAAATATAGTTAACTTATTATTTCTCATTTTGTATAATATATATTTAAAATATATATTTTTTTAAATTAAATAACAAAATGATAGTCTTCTTAAGATTTGTCTATCTAAAAATATAATTAAATTTATTTGTTGGACTTAATATTCTACAAATATTTTTTTATTTCCTTTATAAAAAAATGATAAATAATTTATAAATATATATATATATTTAGGAGAGGTGGTAAGCCAGGCTGCATAATGCCTTGCCAGGGTTGTAAAGGTAGAGGTATTAAGGTAACTGTCCAACAGCTTGGTCCTGGGTTTATGCAACAGATACAACATGCTTGTGCAGATTGCAATAGAACTGGTATTCAATTTTAAACATTTTTCTGATTACTTATAATTTTTGAAAAAAATATGAATTGTCTTTTTATTTATACCAGAGGCCTGAACCAAAAAGGCTAAAAAAGATTAACCTGTGCCATGCCTATTTATTTTTTACAACATTTGGGTTGAGTCAATAGAAAAAAAATTAATTATTTTTTTGCCCTAATAGCTACTAGAGGTGTTATGACCAAAAATACTTATTGATAACTTTTGCAAAATATTTTACAAATTTTTAAGATTTTAAATTTAGCAAAATTATTAAAATATTTTATGAGTTGACCTGGATAACTTAATATTATTATCTTGCAGTCTAGGATGGGCCAAAAATATTTACCAAAATTTATACAGGCTGGACTGAGACAATCTAATAGATACCTCTGCAGGTTTATGTTTTTTTAATCCTTTGAGAACATTAGAATTTTTAGTATAATGTATTATATATTTTGTCCAATTTTTTAGTTGATTCAAAATTAATCATAAAAAACAATTATTTATAACTTCTCTAGGGGAGGTCATTAATGAAAGTCTCAAATGCACACAATGCATGGGTGAAAAGACTATCAGAAATAACAAATTACTTGAGGTGGAAGTTCTAGCTGGCATGAAGAATGGGCAAAAGATATATTTTAGGGGAGAAGGTGATCAAAAGGTATAATTTTTTTAAATACATACATTAATAAGGAAATTATAAAAACAGTTAAAAAAAGAATAATAGAAATGAAAATAATAAACATAAATGTAGAATTCTGTTATTTTAATTTCCTTTTTACATTTACCTACTTTCTATTTTATAATCAATCTTATTTCATTACTAATTTAAACCCTAAACTTAATAGGTTAATTACTGTTTTTAAGGATTCCCATTTTACATTTGTTATGAGGGGAAAAAATAGTGAGTAGATTTATTGAAATAAGAAGTGCATTGGCCAATTTTTGTGCTGATATCAATGATGCTAGGTGTCTTGCAAACATTATTTATATTAATATACAAAAATTACTGAAGAACATGCACACCAATATTTTATTTAAAAGAAAATTATTATGAAATAAATTAATAAATAATTTAAGATATTTTTCCTTTCAGGCTGTGGTTAGTAATTTTTTGAGAAACAAACCTTATAAAATATATATTTTTAACCTTTTATTTAGATATTTTTATAAATAATATACAATGTGAAAACATTTTAGCTTGCCAACACAATTAATTCCCTAGATACACCCTCAAAGGTGTGAAAAATGAAGATCTCTGTATTTGAAATGCTTATATCTTATATAAATTCTATTAAAAAGAATTTAAATAAGGAGAATATATCGTTTAGGCAGATTTTACTAAAATTAGGCTTTTGTGGTTCAAGATGAAGTACAAGGATTTGACTGTAATAAAATGCAAGTTACCTTATATCCTTTAGAGAAGTTGCCCAAAAAATTTCTACTTTTCAGGCAGTATCACAATATAAGAATAGCAAAAATTTAATCAATCGCCATCATGAAGATGTTTTTGGAATAAAAGCTGAGTTTCATTTCTGGGCTATATCTCACCACAAATTGACTTGTGATTGAGTCAGAGGTACAGTTAATAGTTTACAAAAACCTGCAGAACAAATAACTTGTTTGCCTATTCTAAAGGAAATGTTAAAGATATACGATTTCTAATTTATTTATATACATAAATTTTATTAAGGAGTAGATTTATCTTATATTTTGGATGAGGAATGTGAGAATGAGCAAATAATTTTAGAGTAGAAATTTAATAAAGGGCTTACCATCCCTCCTCGAAGGACAAAGTGAATACACAAATTACAAATTTTAGATGTGGCCAGTTCTTATTAATAAACATGCCAAGTTAATAAAAAATTTTGAGTTTATGAATGGGCGAGTTGAATAATTATCCATCAAGCGTGAATTTATTTTAATGCCCGCATGAGTAGCTGGTCATGAATAGGCTCGTACTTACCTCTACTTGGAATGAAATCATAGGAACTTAATGATAACTTGTTAGTATTTAACAAGATCTCTTACTCTGGAAGTTTATTGGGAATAGGTATGGTGTAATGAAGGTCAACAATCTAGTTCTATTCGTCTTAGACCAAACCTGGACCAGTCATTTCTTCAAAGAACACAAATCATACTGGATTTTTAGTTATTTTTTAATCTGGACTATAGTCTAGACGTGTTTTTTTAATATTTAAGCTTGCCTTGCTTTATTTAATCATGTAATTTTTTGGTAAATTTTATTTTATATTTCTTTTCTAAAGGAGTTACCTTAATTTTTGCTTATCTTTTTCTTTTCTTATTCTATTATCTTTATTTTGCAAAAAATTTCTCAAAAAGAATTTTACCATTAAGTTAGATATTTGTATTTTTTTTTATATTATTCATATTTAATTAGATATTTTTAACATAAAATGCTTTTATATATTATAAAATAATAAAACAAGAATTAATTTAGGTAAAATGAAGATATTTTTAAAATAACAAATTAATTATGACCAGTCCTGGACTGGCCTTTTTATTCATATCCGGTCCTGATCTTCACTAATATTATGCCTGTGCATGTCTAAAAATAGATTTTTTTATTGATAAAATTTAGCTATTTAAATAAAAATATTTGTAAAATACTTGCCCATACTACTACTACTACTTAAATACCTGTTCGCTTATCAGCTCCTCATTTTGCCGCCCGATTTGAAGTCGAGTTTATAAGATTAACAACACTAATAATTAATATTTTTGATATTTATATTATAGATTCTAATTCTTGGAAGAACTTTTGTTAATAGATCAAAGTCATATCTTATAGTTCTTTTCTACTTCTCTACGATTTATTTAGAGTTTTTATCTAATAAAATATAGCTCACAGATTACTCTTCCTTGTACCTTGAGAATTTAAAATAATCAATTTACATATATGGGTTGCTGGATTTATATTTTTAGGGCAAAATTCAATTTTTATAAATATGATAATTTAAATTTTTTAAAATAATTTTAAAATAAAGATGAATATATCAGAAGCATTAAATGATCTATCGTGTGATTTTTGCAACTAGTTAATGTAAAATTATATTACTGTTATGTATTAATATATCATGTAAATATTAAGTTTATTAAAGTTATGTATTAACACAAATGGTTTAAAGGCTATTAAACATATATTTTTGTTAAATATATCTTATTTTTATATTCTAAATTCATATTGAGAATAATGGAATTTTATATATGAATAGTTTTATACAATAATTACTGGTTTTAGAAAACATTTTATTTAGCATCAACTTGTGGTCGTTTTATCAACCTATTGGAACTATATTTAAAAATAATTAACATCATTTTAGCAATGAATTTCAGTAATTCTAGGTGATATTAAAATTTTGAGGGTAGGTTAATAATTCTAAAGGCATGATACGAAATACTAAAAGATAATATTGAAAATAAAAAATAGGATTAATTAGAAATTTGATTGATTTATTGCTTATTATATAATATATTTAAAAAATTGAAATTCTAAGATCTTTTCAATTTTTTTTTTCTTTGATATAATTTACGGTTTTAATTTAATTTTATTATATTAATTTTTAAAATATATTATATTTGGTTATGATTTTATATGAATAAAATTTAAAAAAATGGAATTTTTAAAATTATATTTTTATTCTATTTAAGTTTTTTAAAACTATGGTAGTAAGTATCAGGGATCCAAACCGAACCTGAGCCAGACCGTTAAACAGGTATTAACCGCTATTTTTATCGTATCTGAACCGAACTCGAGCTTAAAGGATTTTCTATCAGAACCTCTATATTGCCTTTGAACCAGTTCAAGCCTCATGATTTTATACTTATAAAATTATGTGAAAGTTATTATTAGTATATTGATAACATTCTAATTTAATTTTTATAACCAACCATTATTATATCACTATTTTACAACATAAGCTTAGGTCGTGTCCTGGGTCGACTTAGTTTTGATATTAAATTGCTTATTAGTCTAGAATATAAAACTTTTGAACTGGAATACCCTATTTTCGATTTGTTTTAAGTATTTAGTGGCATTGTTATTTTTTGTTTTTTCCTTAAATTAAAATTTTTTCTTTTGTTTTTATATCTTGAAATAAATCGAGTCCAATATATAAATTATTTACATATAGTATTATAAATAACACATCAAAACGTAATAGTACTGATTAACAACTATAAAGGGGAACTGGGAGCAAATCTTGAGCATAAAAAATAAAAAGAAACCACCCTCTACAACTCAAATTTCACAAACTATCACAACAAATAAAATATATAAAAAAATGTAGCTTTTATACAAAAGTGTTCAAACTCATATTTATATATTCGAAACGAACCTATACATTATTTTCGAACTGTACCTGAACCTTTATTTTTACCAGAACCTAAACCGAACCGATATTTGTTTTGGTTCAGATCTCTGGTAAGTATATAGATATTATAAGTACTGGATTTAAATGACTTGGTTTTCGATTTGAAAATTTTTTGTCGCGACATTCAGGGGAAAAATAACGTCTTAATTTCGAATATTCTTATATCTCATTATACTTCGAATTAATATCTAAAAATGCTTAGATATATTTTTCCACGCTTCCTGTTATAAAAATCGCCAATACATTCAGTGGGAAAAGGCTAACATTTAAAACATAATTTCGAATATTATTATATTATTGTACTCACAATTATATATTTTCTATCTAAAAATGTGTAGATGTATATTTTTGCGCTTCTGGTTCGAAAAATTTTCAAATATTATATCATTATACTAGGAATTAAATTTCCTATCTAAAAATTAATATATACTTAGTTCTTCTTATTATAATGTTTATTTTTTTTCGATAGTTTTATCCATAAAATATTTAAATTAATAATATTTTGTGTTTCCGCTCTTAGCCACATGGAGGCTACTATCATTAAGAACTTTTGCTTTTGGTTAAAAAATAAAAAAATATACCAACACCAGGACATAGAAAGGTTTTATTTCATTGAAAACCTTAATATGATCTTGTGAATTTTTAAGTTATTTATTGCAACAGTATTTATACATAAAAAGATATAAAATCTTTTAATTTAGTTATTTACAGTATTTATACATTAAAAGATATAAAACCCCTTAATTTTTTATTTAATAAAACTTTAAAATAATTAGTGATCAAGAAACAATACAGCATCATATTTATTAATAAAAATTTCTCCTTCTCTATTTTAGCCCTTTTAGTTTGATAAGGCTTTCTCGATCCTTCTTTTGAAGTGATTAATTTACTTTTCATTATTATATAACCATTAAATAAACCATCTAATACTCTCTCTCGTTGATCAATATTTAATTCATTCCACTTATTACCTATTTTAAACTTCTTAAATTCATCCGCCAAATAAAATTCACCTACCGACCAATGATTTTTCTAATTCGTGTCTTTGCAAGATTGTAATTTCGTGTAATTTATTTATAATTAAAAATAGAGCAATGCTTCCAATTTGTCAGAGATTTAAAAATATGACTCAGACTCAATTATTGTTGGTCCATAAATCAGATATTACTTTATTTTTTAAGGGATTATTAAACATCTTCAAAAAATTAGACAGTAATTTATTATATTTTAAGTTCACAATATTTTACTTAGGATCCCATTCAAAAATTATATTCATCACTATCTGCAAAGACTACACCCTCTCTTGAAAATAATTTAAATATTATTTATCGTGGATGCATTCACACCTTGCTTATTTTGTAAAAATGATTTAATATTCTTTTTAAAATGCTAAGAACATAATAAATAGGTGATTTTTCAAAAACATGATTTAAACTTTTAATTAAAGATAATTCTTCATCGTAGCCGAATATTAAATGATTTATTTTATTTTTTAAAAGAGGATTTTAATTCAGAAAAAACGGCTCAGTAAAGAAAACTTAAATTATAATAAATTTTTTAATTACCTCTTTTAAATTTAATAAATAAATCACACGAAATTGCAATCATGTAAAGACCCGAATAAGAAACATCATAGGTCGGTATGGGTGAATTTTATTTGGCATTAGATAGTTTAATTAAAAAATGAAAAAGTTAATCACTTCAAAAGGGGGAGAATTAAGTTTTTTGAGGCCAAAAGGATCGAAAAAGCATTATCAACTAAAAGGGCTAAAGCAGAAAGAACAAATTTTTTTTAATACTTTATATTTTAATTACTGTATTGTTTCTTGATCACTTTTATAAAAATTTAAAGTTTTATCAAATAATAAATTTAGGGATTTTTATCTTTTTATGTATAAATACTGTAATAAATAACTCAAAATACACAGCTCTTAATGATAGTTGCCTTCACGTGGCCAAAAGCGAAATATTTTATGACTAAAACTAGTGTTGTTTAATGATCCGATTTTCAAAAACGGCTAACTACTTTACCTAGAAAAATATTACTCAAGCCTGAAGATTTTGCTCATAGAAGGAATAAAGGTCTAATACATATATTATCGAGGCTTAAGCAATATTTTTCTGGCCAAACTATTGAGTTTTTTAAAAATCGGCTCCAAAGAGCCTTTTAACAATACTGGCTAAAACTAGAAAAAAAATACAGATTATAATAAAAATAATTAAGTATATATTAGACGTAAAAAATTACATTATTTTAGATAGATTTATTTCTGAGTATAATTTTATAATAATATTCGAAATAGGTTTAAGATGTTAGCTTCCCTCTGAATGTTTTTGCGAAAAAAATATTTTCGAACCTAAATCCAAAAAAAATACATCTTAAAATTTACCAGTACTTACAATATCTTTATACTTACTATCAATTTAGTTTTGATAAAAACTTAAATGAAATAAAAATATTATCTTAAAAATTCCATTTTTAAAAAATTATATTCATATAAAATCATAACAAAATATAATTTAATTAAAAATTAATATAATAAAATTAACTTCAAATAGCAAATTATATCAAAGAATAAAAAAAATTGAAAAGATCAATTTCCATTTTTTAAATATATTATATATAATGTAATGTTATAAAATTTTTCTCGTAAAGAAAGCAACAAATTTCTTATTAATCATTTTCTTTGTTTTTTTATTTTCAATATTATTTTTTAGCATTTCGTATCAACAGCCATTCGACTTATAGACCTTGCGAAATTTTGATTTACCTTGCATTCACTATCTTTATTAAACATATATAAATTATCAGCCTGACACAGACTCTGGGGACGTCATGGTAGTCCTCCAGCTCAAAGAACACCCACATTTTACAAGAGAAGGTAACGATTTGATATTGCAACGAATGATTAGTCTCAAGGAAGCTTTAATTGGTTTTACCACTACTATTACACATTTGGATGGAAGAAAATTATTGGTGAAAAACAAAGCAGGAGACGTTATAGAACCGAGTTAGAAAATAATTTTACACTTTATATACTAGATTAGAGGTCTACAAAGCCTAACCCTCTGAATTTTTGTCTGAACTTATAAAAAATTTATGAAAGATTTTTTTGTGCAAATTTTCTGGCCATCACATTTTTAATATCTAAATCAATTTTTCCATCTCTCGATGACTATTTCTATAACAGCCGTTTTATCAGCTTTAATTTTTTGCACAAATTTTATGACCAGCATTGTATCTTATTTTTCCCGATTATTAACTTTATCTATTTCTATAAACATATTTTATTAATTAATGTTTGATATCTATTTGAACTGCATATGGCAAAATTTTCAGAACCAGTTCAGTGAGAATTTAGTTAATGCCTGGCACTACCAAATTTTTACCCCATCTGATTTAGTTATAAGGTTGCTTAGCTTGATTTTTAAATACAAGGCCTAAATAATACAAAATATATGCCGCTGATCATCTAAATAAGAGGATTGGTTAAATTGAAAACATTATATTTTATGGATTATCACTTCCATAATATCAGAATTCATCAAACATAATATAAAATATATCAAAATTTGAATGTCTGGGTTTGTCAATTAAGATTTTATGAAAAATCAAATTTGAGAGGCCCTGTTTGATTTTTTTATATAAATTGTTTGACCATAATTTTTTTATGTATAATTTAATTTTCGGTAGGGCTTGAAATTTGTCTTGAATCATTTGGCCCAATGTTTTTCCGACGGGTGGGGTCGAAATAATATACATATTTAAAATTATAAAGCACTATTTTATAACTCCTTTTAGTCTCCCTTGAATGCTAAAAGATTTTAACAGGAAATATTTTGAATGATTATAACGAAATTTAAATGTTCCTTTCAGTCTCATTGTGATGATCAATTTAAACCTATTCAAAAATTATTTTTCATCACTTATCAATTTTTTAAAATTATTGTATATTTTTCTGCATTTGCAGACTCCATCCGGATTATCAAACACGAAGGCATGCCTATTTACAAAAATCCACTAACCAAAGGGAACCTTTACCTCAAATTGGTCGTAGATTTCCCTTCCGACCATTTCACATCAGAATCCAACCTCCTTAAACTGGAATCCATTTTGCCCCGCACCACCCCTCATAAAAGACCTCTTCAACCCTCTACTCTACATAATCACAAACCACACACAAGTCACCATACAAGTATGAGCTAGATTATATTATGTTATATATTTAAAAAAATATGGAATACTAAATTTTAGCTTCAAATTTTCAACTTTTTAAAAACCTTATGAAACTTATTTTCCAAAAAGATCACGACGATCACATGGAGGAAGAGGTTATCCTTATGAGAGAAGATTTCAATTCTCAGCATCAAAGTAAACACGACTTTCATTCCTATAATAACGCAAATAATAGTCAATCCAATCCAGAATGGGGCAGAAACGAAGCCTATCATGAAGATATAGCCGAAGATGAACATCAACATTTTCACCCTGGTATGGGAGCCGGACCTCAGCAAGTGCAATGCGCTAATCAGTAAAGATGACTAGAAACAAAGGCCCTTTGACATGAGATTTCTTAAAAAACTAGTGTAATTTTCCTATCATTGTTGTAATACAAATATTGTTAAAGTAAGTTTCCCCAGCTAGATTTAATTGTCATTTTTAACGTCAGATTTTCATAAAAAATCCACTCAAAAGGTTTTCTTTTTTACAAAGCAAATTTCATTCCTTAAAGAATGAACTATTTCTCCCCTATTTTTAGTGTGAAAATTTAAATATTACGATGAATTATATATTCTCATTGTTCATTCTAACACATTATCTACTTTTTAATTAAAATTTATCATTTTTTTAAGATTGAATATTTTTATTTTATACTTTATAATTTGTTTAACTACTACTATTTATTATTTTTTGGTTACCTTAATTTTGTATTGCCTTGCTTGATATATATAATTAATTTCTTACGAGTAAGATGCGATATTGTTTAGTCAACCTTTATCCTATTTTTTAATATAAATGAAATCTTATGTATTAGCTCATTTCACAAATTCTATTTTAAAAAATGTGATAAGTGAATAGTATAATTTTATGAATCATTCTTTGTTTTTTGTATCAACGTGCATTATAACCCCGACATTAATAAAATCATGATTCGAATACTTTATGATACGTTCTCGTCAGTTTAAAAAACTCATTTATGTAGAAGGATAATTTTGGTTATTTTCTGAAAGATTTTATATTTTCAAATAAATGATATACTATATTTTTTCTCGATGTACGCTTTTATTAAAATTATTACAATATAATTTTGCAATTTTTTTTTATTTATATTTTATAAAAAAAAGAATTTTCCCTATCTTCATCAAATTATCATTATATAGATATAACTTAAGTGTTATATTGAATAATAAATAATGCCATGAACGTCATAATTTTAAAAAATAAAAAGAAGTTTGTATGTTTTATTGAATTTGATTTAAATACGAAATAATATATTCTTTATTGTTTTAATATCATGATTTAATTTTTTTAAATAATACATAATATATCATAGATACCAAAATAAGCTGGTTATCGTATAATAATATATTAATAAAGGATTTGGTTGTTTTAGTCATATTGCACATAAGTAGAATGTATAGTAAAATATGATGTCACTAAAGTAGGAATGTTATAAATATTTGGTTGATTACAATGAGGTAATAATAAACATTGCCACGTGATAGGATAATTAAGTTTAAAGTATTCTTGATAGTAATTAAAAGGCATCTTTCATATGCTTCAGATGAAATATGGCTAAGTCAACAGGTAAATGGAACTCTATGTCATTCAGCTTTTCTAACGATTGAAAGGTATCTAAAAAGCCTATTTAAAATATTTTAGATTTAAAATCATTTAAAGAGGATTTCAACCCTTAATAGATTTTAAAACGTTAAATAACTAAATTTATAAGTATAAGTTTTGAACACCTTTTAATTAAGCTCAAAATGGGCATCATGAGATATAATTAGGCATAGGCCTCCAGAAAATCGAATATGATTTATATTTGATTCGAAGTTACTCATAATATTAATAAAAAAGATATTTTTCAGGCATTTTTTCTAGTACACAATTTTTAATACATTTTATTGCTAAAATTATCGTACATAAAATAAAAATAAATAATTGTAATTTTAAAATAAGAAAAGGCATAATTCCAAATTGCTTCTTCTATTAAAGATGTTATTTTTGGTAATAAATGCCTATAAAGATAAACGGTCACAAGATGTATAAGAGCGCTATTATCTCTCCCATTGATTGAATATCTGTTGATTAGATTAGTAAATAAAGCTGACAAGAGTCAACTCAGCTAGAGCATCGCGATTTAAGTTGAATGGCAAAAGAAGATCAATGCAGGAATAACCTCAGGTTAGGAATTCGTTTTCTTTTCAAGGGATCATGTTGGATCTATATAAGGGTTGGTCGTCGAAACTGTATAGTCATATGGGCTCGAGGGTTGGAATAAGGCAGATTTTAAATTCCGTTATAGTGCATTACTTGGAATAGAGAAAGTAGCAGCCTTTGAAGCGGACCAATGTTTGACAAAGAAGGCGGTGATAGGGTTTATCATTTCATAATTACGCCTGAGACAGATGTCGCTGCACGTCAAACTCATCATAGTAACAGTTAACATCGAGATTTATCAATGGGAAGAATTCTAGGAATATATAACCGTTCTCTGCATAGATAAATACGAGTAGGGAATGATTTTAGGGTTGGCTCCTTGATTTAAGGTATGCATCGGAGTTGCCAACTAAGGAATTATCTTAGTCTTGTGCAGAGGCTAAGATCTATCGCTCGTGGAAATCAGTGTACTTGGTGAGTGTATTTAACTCACGTGAAAGACGAGAGGATATAAATGCGATAATGAAAAGTTAGTCGACTTATTTTTCTGCCACTGACTTTGGTTGGCAATCCAGCAACCATAATAGTCAAAATATAAGATTGAATATCTGCTCTGTTAGGGATTTAATCACATCCGATTAAGAATGGTACGATATTAAAAGATCCCTGAGGATGGCAGTGAATACACGATCCCTCTTGATATCAAAAAGTTGCTTTTCAATAAGAGAGTCTGGTGGGTGAGAAGCGGGCAGGATATCTAAGTGATATCTCTTGTGAAAAATAAACAAGGAATTTGATAAAAGACTCATCATTCTCTAGCTAAGATCCTAGGTGTAGAATATAAATGTGTGTGATTAAAAGTAAGACCATGATCCAGTGTCAATGATGCCTGGGTAATATTTGTTTTTATCTGGATTAAGTCTAAGTCCCATGCTGCTCTCTCTGGATCTGAATATCCCGACTGTTTTTATTTTTTACTTCTTCAGATGAACCAATTAATATATCGTCATTCAGTATATACCAATTAAGGAGATTTCGTTTTCATTGGTTACTGATCCTTGAATCAGGCCATTGATGCCAGACAGAATAAGATAGAACTCAGAGGATCGTATTGTTGAATTCCCTAGCTAGAATAAATTAATCTTTCTCCAAACTGTAGGTTTCAGGGATTAGCCTGGCAATCAAAAACAATTGGAAATATTTTGTGTAGAGAGTGACAATGGTATTTCGAAACCCACTTCGCTTTAGAGAATTAAAGGCGTTTGAAAAATAAATTTTAATTAGGATGTCATGCTGGGATTTGTTTTTAGGTACACCCGGGTCATAAAGAGAGCGTTCACATCTACATTTTAAGTAGACTCCCAATTGATTGGGGCATAGGTTATCATATATGGTGTACAGTATTCTACTTACTAATAGATTGGCAGTTAAGAGGCGCTATGTGTTTTCAATAGCGATAGGGCAAACATCTTCATTGGGTTTATGAAAGGCGATAAACGACGTCATATTAAGGTCACTTGAAGAAGGCTGAGATAATCAGAGCCAAGGAAAAGAAAGGAATAAGAGTTAATCAAGATGAGCCATTTCCCTGAGCATCACTGACCTTATGCAAGGTCTTATGTTCAATCATATATACTTAAATACTTTAACACATCTGGGATTTCCGGTAAGAAATAAAGTTCGGTAATTACTATATTTTTAGCCTGCTAAAAAATCGGCTAAACCAAGTTTTTAGCTAAAAACTATAATTTTGGACTCGGGTTTTTCAAAAAAAGATAAAGCTTAAATTTGGAAGAAACTAATATAAATTAAAAAGCCTTAATGTTGTTAACGGATTTTCTCTGGCAAGCGTTTGAAGAGCCGAATTAGCCATTACCCATCTATAGTAAAGGATGATGAATCTTTTATGTTCCTTGTTGACAATTTCACAAAAAATATCCTTGTCATCAAGCTTTCTTCTTCTTAAAGATCCTGTACATACTGATTCCCACGAATCTTTCAATATGATGCCACTATCGCTACGCATGAGCTTGAAATTAGTACCTAAAACAGGACAGATACTAAATTGGAGATCTATCAATTGGTAGGCTATCTTACAGATACAGACCAAAGCAGGTGACATTGGCATACGCCTTAGCTACTTCCTTCCCTTTACCGCTCATATCCTCTAGTCTATCATATAAGAATTTCAACCAGCTATTAAGAAATGATGAGGCAATGCCATCGGTCTCAGGCTTAGTCAGTGGCGTAGCTACGGGGGTGGTTTTCGGGTTTGGACCCCTCCCAGAGCAAAAATTTATTTTTAGATTATACGTTCAAAAGACTTATAAGTGGTGACTTTATATCAAATAAATACCAATAATATTTTTATTTTTCTGGTTTTGATGTTTGTGGAAGGATTTTATATTACTATTAAAATTATTCTGGATAGTATCATTATAAAGATTGAGAATAATCTACTAAATTATAAAACAAATTATTGATGCATTTAAAAAAATATATTTATTATATAATATCGAAAATATGGTTATGATTTGTAAGATAAACCCGGCCGAAGGCCGGGCAAAAGGGCCGAAGGCCCGTTAAAGGTGGTCTGGGGGCGAAGCCCCCAGGCTTTTATATGTATGGACCCCCTCTAAGGAAAATTCCTAGCTACGCCACTGGGAATTATGAAAACACCTCATCACTGCCTTCTTTGTCAAATATTAGCCAACTTCAAAGGCGACCACTCTATGCATTGCAAGTTATGAAGAGGTAGATTCCTCAGACACCAAGTGCAACAACGCTATAGCCCGTGCCTTAAAATACGCTGGTATCCAATTAACCCTTAGCACATTGGACTTCCGATGGCAAACGCTCAGAAGGATCTACTATAATCCCTTGGAAGAAAGACGAATTCATAACCTGGGATTTTTTCTGCATTGATCTCTCGCGCCATTCAATATAAATCGCGTTTCTCTCGTGGACGCTGAGTTGAATAAATACGTCAATTCGCCATAATATCATTCGCCTCTTTCGCCCTATACCTTTTTAAGGAGTCAGAGCAAATTGTAGCGAAGGTCGGGATCCCAATGTAGGACTATCTACGGCAAAGGATAGTTCTAGCATTGCCAAAACAAACTATCCTATCTCTTTTCTATCAATAAATTTTATTTAATCATTTTGAAATTATGAAAATATTAGATTTTTTTCGAATCATATCGTGATAATAGCGAATATAATGAACAAATCACTATCATGATCAAAAAATGATAATATTCATAAAAAAAATTATAAGAGTACCTTTAATTTAAAAAATAGTAATCTCAATAATATTTGCAAATTTTAATATAAATGAATTCTAAAATTTACGAATAATTTAAATTTATTATTCGTTTGCGATTCGTTCATTATTCGAAATCGTAAATCTCAATAGAAAAGCAAATAATTTTCGATAGCCCTAAGTATTATTAATTAAATTAGTATAAACATATGATAAAAAGCCAAAAATTAACCTGTTTTAGCCAGATAGCTCCAAGATTGATAAAAATTATCCACTATATACCTGGATCTCAAAATTAACCTTAACCATGGAACCAAGAGCTTTTGACTAATTAAATTTTAATGTAAAGATATAATATTTAGGTATATAATTTATACTTGAAAAGAATTTATAAATTCGATTTTGAAGAAAATAAAGTTAGGGTCAAAATCCCTTTTCTTCCCTATATATTAAAAGGAAAAAAAACTTTAAAAATTAATTTAAATGGCATTTTATTTATTTTCCATCGAAAAAATAAAATTTATACTTTAAGGCATGGCTTATGAAAGCCTTATAATGAGCATCCTTGCTTCTTTTCAAATGTTGATGAGCCAAAATGATATCGTTAATAGCGGATAAAAGTTTCTATATAAGTTTTTCAATATTTTTATTCCATTTATGTAATTCCAGGAAAAGTAAAAAATATAGTAGAGATAAGTGGAAAAGATTAATAATTTTCTAAACTGATTCAAACACCTAAAACCATAATTTCTAATTGGATATGAAATATTGTCACGATTGATAGACTTATAATGTATAAAAGATAATAAAATGACCAATTAGGCAATAATAATTTGCCCTATCTATAATTATCGTAAATTATGAAAAGAGCGAAAATATAAGTGTGATTCGTTATTTCCCTATTATGGTGAGCATATATAACTATGATGGCTTCTAATTGGTTCGTTTTTACGTTCCATGTGTATTATTCTAATATTATTAAACATGATTTTAAAAAAAAATTATGTCCTCCAAAATTTCTCGCCTGATTTTTCTCTACATGCTGTGTTGAGTGTTAAGAGTTCTAGCATAGATGGAAAAACAGTTTTTTCGAGTCCTACTTATTGGGTTATTGATTGTAATATGTTGAATGTTTCTCTCTTTGTCGAATTTGCAGGGGATGCCAATTGATAGTTATTGGATTTAACAGATACTTTATATAAAGTGAAGGAAAATGGAGTGTTTAAAAAAATTTGGCGCAATCCTTGTTAGGTTTATTAAAAACTTAGTTGATTGTGGTAAAAGATTTTATGTAGTTAGAATAATAATAACTAATTGGTAAGCATCACTAGATGTTGGTTAAATTAACCACGTATTGATATAATATACATCAATCTTGGAAACTTCAAGTCTTAGTTCCTTAAAGAATGGAGAGTTGATCTGATTAATTAAGATTTCCCTCTTAATACCAAAGATGGGCATAATCACTTAAAAATTGTAATTAATTCCTGATTACAATTACTAATATCCTTCTATCTTAACACAATTTAATCATTAAAAAATTTTTTTTAGCAATACAGAATTTTTTTCGTCATCCAAAATAAGACATCAAATGGTTAATGATTATTGTAAATTTTTTATAAGCTAAAGCATTTTTGTCTTCATCAGCAACTGTAAAAGATTATTTAGCTTTGCAACTTTGGAGTTATAGAACACATTTAAATAACGAAACTGTTTGAAAAATAGATACTTTTATAAATAGTTATATTTTTTATAAAAAATATTAGTTAAAAATATATAGAATATCATTGTTGATATGGGTGGAAAACTTCAAATGTTAATGCCCATAATATCTATTTATATTTAGACATCATAAATGATATCCCATTATAACATAGAAATTGATTGCATTTCTTAAAATCAAATATATTTATAACAGTTTATAAATATGTTTTATGATATTGTACTTTATATTGAAAGAGTAAAACCGTCATGTTTTTAAACATAAAAAAATTGTAATAAAGAATAAAACATTACAATAAAGTTTCTAGTTATTTTTAATAATTTTTGGCTTAATACAGCTTATGTTATGGGTGCAATTGATTATTCATCTATAATGTAATGAATAAATTCAAAACTCCATAAACCAAAGTTGATATGTACCATCAAGATATTCTCCAAAAAAAATATACATTAATCAATCCTCGCAATGCATCCATCAAAGCAAACCAGAATCTGCTCAATTTTTATAAAGGTCTGCAAAACTTGATCAAATCCGAAAACCCAGCCTGCATTGTAATTAATTTTTATATAGGGTAGGTCGAGTTGAGAAAAATAATTTTTCAAGTGGGTCGGGTCTGGTTAGAAAATTTTTTGTTATAATTTTAATCATGCTTTGATTGTATATTATTTTACAATTTTGCTCATTTAGATCATTTCAACATATATATTAAAAAGAAATTTTCTTTTTATATTCTGATTTTTGGGTGGCGAATATGGAATTAATTATATGTTCGAAAATGCTTTTCTTTCTAAGAGTTCCTTGCAGATATCTAATTTTATATGGGCATATAAAAGATCACACAAGACCTAGTGTCATCTATAGTTAAACATAAGATTAAGGCCTCCTACTCCTAGTTATTATGAATTAATTTTTTCTTTCAATAGAAAATCTTTTTTCAAATTTAACTAAAAACCAATATTATCCAAGCAACTCTTTATTCTTGAAGAATAAATTCACGTGAAAGTCAATCTTCAATATTAAATATTTGTTTGATAAAACGACATAAATTGTAATTATTATGCATATGGTATTATTTTCCAAAAATTGTTCTATAAAATCGATCGAATTGAAATAGAGACGAAATGTCGCGAATTTCGAATATGAGAAAAATATATTTCCTTTTTAAAAGTAATTGATATAAAAGTGATAGTATACTGATTTAGGAGTTATGCGTGTATGCCCGACTATATCTAAATCGAAACTTCTGGATAATTTTCTGGGAGCCGATTGATTGAACTGAGGTCCCCCCTATAATAAATTTTGAAAAAAAATTATCTAGATAATTATTTATGGCAATATACGAATTTAATTTTCAATTTGGTTAGTAAAAAAATAAATAATAATTAATAAATTGTCATTAATAATATTAACATTATTATCCGCATTAAGTTGAAAAAAAATTGTAAACATTTAAATATGATACACTTTAACCACCCCACTTCTAATGTTCATATTAAAAACGTCAATAATCTGACGGATTAAATAATACAAGCGGGTTATACTAAAAGTAGCGTGACTAAATGACGTATCTTGAGTCAACTCCAGGCTTGGCTGATGCCTCAAAGCCATAGCCAAATTGGGAGGTTGGAATAGAGGTTTACAATGGGCGGGCTAATTTAAACCTTGAACGGTAAATGGGCGGGTTAAAAAATATTTTTAAAACAATGGGCGACTGGCGAAATGAGTAGAACAGACTTCTATTTAAAAATCATAATTTTTTTAAATTTTATAATATTGCATATTTTATAAGTTTTAAGTAAATACATTAAAATAAAGAGCGAAACCAAACCAATAAAATAATTTTTAAAAATTGGGTGGGCGGGTTACACAATATTTTGGATAAATGAGCGCGGACGTGCAGGTAAAACATTAGGCGGGCAAGACTTTGCGTTAAATAAAACCTATATAGGGAGACCGACCTCTAGGTCGAAGCAGACCATTATGACTCTCTGCTCAGCAGTGCCATTGAATAAAATTGAAATGATATTTTAAAGATTAATCCATTTTAAAAAAAATACTGTAAATACCATACCTTTATTTCGTAATAGTTTAAAATGGCATCCCAAAAGTGGGGTTCTTCTTTACCAAAATTGAAGAAGGAGGATCGCTGATGTTTACCATCCTCAGAATTGTGGCTTGAATTCGAATTGATGGCAAAGCAAGGAAGGTAAGAGGTTATGATGGAAGATGAACTTCTCTTATTGTGCTAAAAGTTTTACAGATTTTAATTAAATAAATTGGACAGTTGAGATAAACTAATAATAAACTATGTTTTTGTTCCTCAGAATATAATTAAAATTAATGACTTGCAGAACCATATATAATTTTGTGAAAAATAAGAATAATTTCCCGGTTCCGGATTTAACTTGGTCATTTTTCAGCAGGATTTCGTAAATTTTTATTTCTGCCTTGGGTTTCAAAAAAATTATACAAGTCTCTATTAGTTTAAGTTAATCACTAAATTTAATTGATAGCTAATCTATATATAAATGTTTTTTTTAGTACATTGATGTAACCATGATGCAAAAGTTCGAGTAAACGAGGTGCGAAATCTTTCCTAACACAGTGGAGCACATGTTCGTCCCACAATAAATTAAAACTTTCCTTAAATTCGTGCAATAAAACGAATATTGTATATACATTTAAAAATATTTGCAATTTAACCTTTTATGACCAAATTTCTTTCTCTCCCTTTATTCGTCATATTCCATTCTAATATGAAAAGTTTTATTAGTTGCGAGATAATTTAAAGACTTTTTTAAAAAAATTTCTTTCTTTTCATGATCCTGTCTTTGTTACAAAATCAGATTTATATATAAATATCTATTCTTTAAACTCACATTATCGGTATCGTCTTCTTCCAAATCATCCTCGTCGTTAGTAGTGTAATCGCTGTCCGAATCGATTTTACACGCCACATTAGTGCCATCATAATAAGATTGAGTCAGAAGATTTTTGCGTTTACGTAAACATAAATTAATCAGCGTTTGTAAAGACATCTCCAAATCGGCTCTTATATTACTGGATAACAGAGTAATGTAAAAAGTAAAAAACATTTTAATGGTCAAAATTGTAAAATGTTTGAGATATTTTACAATATTTTTATACCAATATTTACTGAAAAAGGATAATAAATGATATTTGAAGCCTCCTAGTTTACATATATTTCTCAGATATAAAAATATTACCCCCAATGAATCCCCTGTGGCATAGACCTACCCAAAGAGGGTATCATTACCATCATAAGGCTATTTCCACCAGCGCTGAATTTTTCGGAGTCGAAATATGGTGGGTTATTATTGGGAGAACCGGCGAATCGAAAATGGTGATTAAATGTATTATTATTATGATCGTTGCAATCGATGAAGGAGAGCAAAAACAGGCCTAGCATATTTATAGCTTTTGATAATAGGGATGAAGGGTGATGATGATTGTGGTTGTTTTGAAAACCTGGTCCGTTACTTCCCTATGGATCGATTTTTAGTACAATCAATAAGATGTAAATAAGATTTTTTTTCAAATTTGAAGAATGAATAAAAACAAGTATTTTAAAACAGGAATATTTATAATTTCGAATTTATTTTGGTTTAAAATCTGTTCTTTATAGTGATTCTCATTTTAGTGGTTACCTTTAAGGTTATAAACGTCATGGTGTATAGAAAAAAGGAAAAATGTATTCTTTATTATCGCCGTCTTATTTAGAATAATTTCAAGTTAGTTTTAAGAATAAAATCAAAAATCAATATAATTAAACTTACGCAGTAATTGTACGCGGAATCGTGAAATTGACAAGAGTTATCCTATTACATATGTAAAAATTCATAGAATAATTCATGTCAAATTCTTACCAAAATATTTTTATTAGTAATATGAAGTTCATTAATTTAAATAAAATTTGTACAAGAATAAACCTATGAAAATAGATATAGATATCCCCCTTTTCTAAGGCAGGAAAATTTACAATTAAAACCTTTCTGTCACTAAATATTTCTTTTTTTTATTGTTGCAAATTATAAATAAATATTATGTTTCCGAAATAGACATACTTGAGAATGATGTTTGGGACAAACACAGGTACAGATGCTGTTTACTTGGTCTAAATTATTTGGCGATTCTGTTAAATAGAAAAAACAGGCGATAGATAAATTATCCGCCATTTACATGTTTTTATGTATCATTTCCAATGTAAAGTCGAACAGGTTTTGGCCGATCCCCCTAAAACCTTATAAAAATTTTAGAGCTTCCTGATCCATTAGAAAAAAAACTTAGCTTCTAGTAATGATAGACCCAAGCCTAATATGTTAAAAGATGTTCAAAGAAGCAAGATTCAAAATGTTAGAAATAATGAAAGAATTTCCGATTCGATATTGATTTCAACATAAAATCCATTGAAGGATGGAAAATCTAGGGTAGTATTTTATTTTGAAAATTTTGAAACAATTAAATGCGAGAAGACGAAAATTTAAGATAAAAAAATATTCTTTTAAATATTACCTCAAGAAATGAATAAAATAAAGTCTAATATTGGTTACAATCTCCCATTAAAAAAAAATTGTGTAAAAATAGGAATCTCAACAAGCTAACGCAATCAATCATTTTAGCGAAGAGGGTATTATAAGCTAAGCTTGATGATGCGGTGGAAAAAGGAAATTAATTATTAAATTTATAAAATAAAAAGATGGTTAATAAATAATAATAAAATTTTAAGGGAAAGGAACAATAAAATAATATTTAATTATTTATGTTGGACGAATTAAAACAAGTTTATCTCTGATAGAAATGTGATAATGGTCCAAAAAAAGGAGATAAGAAATATTAATTCTTTAAAAATATAGTATAATATAATGTATACGACAAAAGTTTCAGAAATGACAAAATTTATTGGATTTAGATGAAAATATCTTCTTTATTAATGATTATATTTTTAAGCTAAACGACTTTTATAGGAAAAATGTATTATGGCGTATGAAAAGAGCACAAATAAATTACTCCAATTATTATTTGAAAAAATTCAATTTTGATCTTAGAAATTAGAATTTACGGATTAAATATGTTTACCCTCTACCTTTATACCATTTACCGGTATAAAATTTTATAAATATTCATAAAAAATAGTGGCCAAAACAGTTTCATATTGACTTTCATATGAAATGAGACAATCCTATCTAGGGCTGTGCCAATCTATAAAATTTTTCACCGATTCGATCAAATAATATTACTATAAACCCGATCCGAGATTTATATTTTATTTACCATCCATCTATCATTGAATTAATGTCATAAAAATATGAACTAATTTTCATGATTAATTAAGTGTATTTCGTTTTATTTATTCTCTAAAAGTTAATCATCTCATTTAATATATGGGTAATGTTAATGGCTGATTGCGACTCTTTAAATATTTTAAAATCTTATTCTTGTTACATATAACAAAAAAATAATATCTTTTATACAATTAGATATTTTTAAAAAATATTATAATTAAAAATAAATTTTTTTTTTAAGTATAAAATAAAAAATATTCTAATTTTATATTATATATAATCATAAAATAAACAAAAACAATGATAATATCGGATAAGGTTAGTCGAAAAATATCGGACCTGATCCGAAATTAAATTATCGGCACAGCATTAGACAATAATATATACTATATATTGTAAAAACCAAAAATATTTTAATTTTTTTTATCTCAGTAAGCAAATCAATGGCGTCGCTAGTTATTATTATTTAGGTTTGGATAAAAAAGTGCTCAAAAAAAGTTAAGCGCGTAATGATAGTATAGTTTCTTACCCGATGTTTGCAAATAGTCCACGAACCTTTCCAAATCTATAATCTGGGTCTTAAGTTGGATTACCAATCTTTCTTTTATTTCGACCGGATTTACGAGCTTTAAAATAATATTAATGTTAAAAAAAATTGAAAATGAGTGTTTAAGATATACGATATTTGTTTCTATGTTATAAAAGAATCTTTACATCATTGATTGCTGTATCCACAGTTTGTTTCAAATCAGTAACGGACATTTTGCCTATGTTTTCATACCTCAGGTTCATTTTTTTGTTCAGTTCTTGTAGTAATAATTTTTGTTTTTCCACCAAAACGTTTTGCGGTAATTCAGAAATGGTACCGGACTAAAGAAAATGTATATATATATAACGTTTATAAAAAAAAGTAAATGCAACAACTAAAGCCTCGCACTGGTATACGAATCAAATACTATCTTCAAACTCGGTCGGGGTAGAACGGGCCAGATCGGTTGGGTATTTTTTTTATTAAAAATTTTGAAACCTAGGATATATGTTTGATTTTTATTTTAAATTACTGAACAAAATAAATTATGCTAGATAATAAATAAAATAATTTTAATGAGGAAAAATGATAGTTCTAAAGTGAGCATCAATAAAAAATATTAGGCGAAGAAAAAAAATATTCAAGATCGAAGAGTATAAGATAATATATTTTTTTAAGGAAATTTAATTTTAAAATATTGCACAAAATTATTGTAAAACTTTGAAAATCGTTGAATATTGGTAAAGTTTAAGAAACCAATAAATTAGGGTTAGCGATAAAAAAAGAAGTTAAACTCGTCGTTAAAATATTATAGAGTTCTATCTGCGTTTCTATCAATTTTATAAAAGTACACCGCAATAACAATTTAATTTTAAAATCCTTCTTCCATTTTTTTTTGATGGGCAGTTTACTCCTTCAAAAACAGAAAATTTAATTTTTAAATAACTATGATTTCTATTCATATTTTCTTATTAAATTTTGAAAATTTTAAACAAAAAACAAAATAGGGGGTAAACTTACATAATCAATAATAAATGGATATTAAATATCATTTTTTTGAGGAAATATCGATTTACATAATAAAAGTCCTCGTGGAAAAACAATGTAATATTTATAATATAATAAAATAATATAATATAATAAGATAATATAATAAAATAATATAAAAAAAATATGAAAAAAGAGTATAAATAAAATAAATAAAATTTTTATTTTAAAAATTAAACTTCGTAAGCGTAATTTTCGAGTTCCTGCAATTGAGACTTAAGTTGTATAATCAGGTGTTTTTGTTTCTCCTTTTGGTGTAATATTTTGTATTTAGATATCTCTTTCTCCTGTAAATAAAAAAAATCAATTTAAACACCATTGGAAATTCGTAAATTATGACGTAAATCAAATTTATAGGAATTTTATTATTTATCGATGCAAAGCTTCGCACAGCAGTTCGATAATTTGATAATTCGATTTAATTTTACAATTACTTCATTTTAATACTTTCTCTCACTATAATTTCCCTCTGAAAATATTGGCAGCCAAGTCGGGAAACCTGTTCAAAAATTTGGCAAAAAGTTTACCAGGGGTGGGAAAATTTGTGCCGGAATTCTAAAAGATCGGACCTTTTTGATCTCGAATATCGATTTAAAGAAATTATATTTTACCTATATGGGATTGAATATCATTAAATAAATTTTGTATATGTCTTATTTTTCAATTTTCTTTTTTTAGAAATATATCTGATTATATTAGATTTTAGAATACCTAAAAACATATATATAAATAAACATGCCGTCGGTAAAGATATAATTGAGATAGAGGGAAATAAATTTTAAGGCTCTTTAATGATGTACAAATAGTTTTAGTGAAAATAGTAAAATGAACTAAAATGGAGCCGACCAACCATCTTATGACCAATCATGACTGAGCCCAATTTGCCAATCATTGACGTATTTAAATTAGGCTTAAATTACCAGTCTTATATATAAATATTGTCTTAAATTATAATTGTAGTGGACTAATGTTCCCTTGCACTCAATGTGCCCTGGTTTTTCCTACTTTAATATTTATATATTAATTTTTAAGATAAGTTTAAGGTAAATCCTTTTCACTTGATCCACTTTTATAAATATATTTTATTTATGTAATTTTCCTTAGATATAATTACTGATCTTTTATTTCACATTAACTTTAGCATAAGCCTTACAAACCTTAGCTAAATGTAAACTTTTAATTTTTCCAAACCCATATAAATTAATACTTTATTTAAAGAGGGTATGGGCTTTTTTAAACAATCTTGGCTATAAGAGTTTAAACATAAAGTAATCTCTTTGTGTGCACAGGTAACTGCAGCCTGCCCAAAAATTGGTGAATTGTTCTTCTCACTTTAAACTAATACTCATGTCTCTTTTTAACCTATTTTGATGGGCGTGAGACGAGTCAAGCAAAACTCTGTTGTTTTTAAAGACATAAAAGGGCGAAGCGTTTAAGACAAATTCATAATTTTAAAAAAATTCGTAATATGTTAAAAATATGTATTAAATCTTAATTTCAAAATGTCAAATAATAAAATAATTATTGATTTTTGTGGTAAGAGAAAATTATATAAATATTTTTAAAAAATTTTAAATAAAAAAGGACAAACAAAATGAGTTTTAAAAAGATAAAATGAGAATATAATACTTTATCTTCTACTAAAACAAATGTATTATTATAATAATATATTAATTAAATTTTAAAAAATTTATGAATACAAAATAACCCCAATATCCTATAAAAGAGTGTCAAACGTCTGTCATGTTTACCCTCTTTTATTTCTAGAATGGGGAGGAGGGGGGGGGCGCATTCCAAGGACACTATGTCTGCTATAAAACGCTCCTGCCTGAGATACGTTTAGCCGTATCCATGTTATATAATATTCTTAAAAAAAACTATAGTTGCCATCGATGATATATTTATAATATAATAAAAAAAACTGATTAGTATAGAAAATTATTTTGAATTACTTTAAGATCTATATCGGATAAAGGTTGATGACGATTAGTAGTAATCTTGATGTTAAGATCTTCCTTGACGACTTCTTTGCTAAGCAACGATTCATGAGACGAATAATGACCGAGCGTATCCTTGAATGAAGAAAAATCAATGCAACCTTTAAAAGCAAATTCTTCCAAATCCTTAAGCAATCCCTAAATTGGAAGAGATAAAATATATATAAATGATAAAAATATGTAGATTAAATAAAGGCTTTGATGCCCTTATACAAAACCGGTCGAACAATATCATACTAAATTTTTTTTAATATGATTTTCGGCCGACCCCTTTATGTTTCGATGAAATTTGTGTAAAAGTTAAAGTTCGATGCAAATGCGTCAATGAAATTTCAAGAGGGTTCCTACCCGTTTAGCACATACACAGTCAGTTTCAATTTTATATTTTAGTTATCAGGAGGCCTCTGCGTCAATGGTTGATTGGGTGATGGGTCCAAACGCCTCTGATGTAGCCTACAATACATAATTTAGCCTCGTAGCTTTTATACTTTTGGAGAAATCAGGGGGTAAAAGCCTGAAAATAATCTCTTTTTTTGCAAGTGTCGATCGTCATTCAGATTAAGGATCGATTAAAAACTACGCAATTGTAAATATTAATTGAGGCTAGCTTTTAAATTATTGATGAATCAATTGACGTATTTGTGAATATAAATTTTAAAAAAAAGGGAAAGGATATGTTCCTTTCCATTTAATACTAAATCGATTTATTATTTCGATATTAAGTAAATTATCTGGATAAGTTGAAATCCAAGAATAAATTTTTTTTACCCCAAGTTAAAAAAAAATATTGGATAAATAATATTTCCCGATAATTAATGTTAGATCTTATTAGAAATTCTGGCATTCAAAGCTCTATAAAATAAATACATAAACCTTACGTCGTTTGGGTCCGTAGAGATCTTCATATTCCAATAAGGATTCAGATGACCACAAAAGGGATTTGAATAACAATAAAAACATTCGGTAGGGGGAGGGTTATTATTCATTAAATTAGAATAAGGTAAAAAAATATATATAGTTAAAATAGGATATATATTTTTTAAAAATAGTCTATCTTGATCATTTAAAAATATGTACAATTGGCCGTTAACCTTTAAATCATTTATAATTTATATTAATAAAATCTATGGGAAAATAAATATAAATTAAATTAAGTTCAAAATTTCATAACAAAAGTGTCTGAAATTTATATGGTAGGTATTCCATATGATGGAATACATTTCCGGTAAAATCAGATTTTAAAATTTAAAATAGCTCAAAAAATGATTTAAAGTTGAAAAAATAACACACTGCTGATAAAAACACATTGCCACCAAAACATATATATAGAGTAACCTTAGAAAACATCAGGTATTTATAACAAAAACATATTTTGTGTTTTGGTGAAATCAAGCAAATTTTTTTATTATTACTAATGAATATGCCATCTAAATCTAGCCCTTCCATAATAGACACAAATTCTAGTCCACATCAAGCTTTAGCCAATACCTCGTTTAAGTAAAATCGAGAGGGTGGTACAAAAATTTATAAAATTTTTCATATTGGACAAGGAAAATTACTGCATGAATGGCTTTTATTTAAAAATAAGTCGGAAGTTACTGGTTTTTAAAATATTCTATGTGAATAGGAGCTAAGGCTTAAAAGGTTACAGACCTAGACGGATGCTAAGGAATCTAGGGTTTGATTTCCAACTCGGGGAAAAATATCTGCCAAACTCTTTGAAAGCGTTGGCTTAGGAAAGAGGGGTTAAAGGATAGTTAAGAGATATGGGTTAGGGTTGGTTTTATTTATATTATAACAATAAGTGTATAATATGTATTTTACTAAAATTTGGGCGTTTAGTCAACTGCTATAATATTGACCGACGTATTACATCCATCATTAGGCATTACCCCCCAAAAAATTTAAATAATTTTATCGGAAAAGTTTTTTCCCCGGATTACTTTAAAAAACATATAAAAAAATTAAATTTGCTTTTTTAAGCATATTATAGGAAAATTAAGATATAAAGTTTCAGGTGAATAAATAATAAACAAAAATTTTATAAAGCCAGGATTATTAATAATTAAGACGCAGATAAAGTAGAGATATGCAAAGCCCGGTTCGCAGGCCGGGAAATTTTTATTAAAAAAATAACGGGATGGGCAATTCGTACATTAAAAATTCTAAGTCCAGGCAATTTATACATAAAATAATAGGGCAGGGTCTTACAAATCTATTATTTTTCCTAAAATTTTAATAGATATGCTTATATCCTTGTATTTTAAGAAGCTGTCTAACTAAAATATTAAAATCTATAAATAATGTAAAAAATTCACAAAAAAATAACCATTCTAGGGGAACTTTTTAGGTAATAAATCATAATTTCCGACTTCGTATTATATGGAAATTAAAAAGGATACAAACCAGAGACCTGCAGAAGTACCATTTACACGGCCTGAATTTTTTTTCAAAAATTTTTTTGGCCTGGCCCGGGTTTTATATTTTCAGGCCCGGCCCCCAGCCCGAATTATTTTAAAATATATTATATTTATTTTTGATTTTTATAGCTAATAATGGTGATTTCAAATTTTTGGTTTTAAAATATAAGGCCTAGGCCTGGATATTTTAAAAAATTTCCAAGTCCAACCCGGGTATTTAAAAAAAAGAATTTCAGGCCGGCCCTGTAAATCTCTGATATAAACTAAGTAAGATTTATAATTTATATGCATAGTTTATAGAGCGGAATTTTTTTCAAATTAATCATGGGCAAAAATATATATATTTCCGTCCTCTCCAATGTCACCTAAAGTCAAATAAAAATTTATTAAGCACAAATTTATAAAAAATATTTTGGATCGTAAACAAATTAATACCTGCTATTTTAATTCTTATCTTTAATTAAATATTAACAGGTATTTTCAGTAATATTTTTTATTTTTTAAAAAAATTAAAATTATAAATAATTTCAAAATGATAAAAATAAATATTTCGACGGAAATACCTTTTATTTTCAGTTTAACAATATTACAAGGCCATGTCCAAAAGTAATATTATAAAGATGTGATTAGTTGGATTAATAATTCAGATCTTTTATTTTCCTAAATTATTTTTCAAAAAAAATCCAATCATACCCTTATTTTATTTGACCGTGTAAATTTTTAAGCTGAATTAGGTTCGTAAGATTAATCCTTGCATATTTTAGCATGACTGAAAAGGCTAAAACTTAACGACGCAAATTTATAAGATCCCTAAAAAAAATCTAACTTCTTAAAACTATTCAATTTTTTTTTAAAAAAGGTTAGATTTTATATTATCAAAAGTTTAAACATAAGATATGTGAATAAAATTTGTATATACCATTTTATTTATGTGATATCTCTCCTCATATTTCTCCTTCATATATTTATTAAAACACAAAAAAAAAATTTTAAACATTTTACGAATAGAAGAAAATCGAAATTTCCAATTTGAAAAGATTGGTCTTATAATGAAATACATTTAAAAAATGGAGGAGGCAATATATTGAAATATTTTAACTAGTAGATACTCTTTTCATATATTTAATCTATTCCAATTAGGGATGTACCGATTTTTATGAAATCGGATTGGGCCGATATTTCATTCATTTTAAAATATCGGTTATCGGCCAATATTATAAAATATCCCGATCCGATATAAAATGGCGTTTTTAACAAAAATAAAATGTTATAAAATTTTTTAAAAAAAGTTATATCTAAAATCATTTATTTTTATAAATAAAATCGAAATCCATTTTTATGTTTTTTAATAATAATTAATTAATAAAAAATTTGCCATATTGTTATTTTTTTTGCCATATTGTTATTTTTTTTGCCATATGTTATTTTTTTTGCACATTCTGTTGGTGATAATCTCTTCAGAATCTGTTTTTAGTGAAGCTGGTGATATTGACAGTTACCATCATCGCTGCAGGCATTTTGGTATTTCTAAAAAGAAATCTTCGATATATTAATGTTAAATATTATTTTAAATATTTATTACAAATTTCATAATATATTTGTTTATTACTTATTATGTATATCGATAAATGTTAATAAAAGTGATTTAACAATAAAAATATTTTATAACTTTTGGAATTGCAATTGAATATAAACTATAATAATTGATCATTATAATATATTTAAATGACAAAGTTATGGTATAGTTAAATTATAGATGTTATACTAATAAAAAGTATATTAAAAATTAAAACCATTGGTATCTTTACAGGGTATAAAATTAGATATGATATCAGATCGGTAATCGTCCGATATCAATTTAATATCAGGAATATAGGATTGGATCGGCTTCCAAAAAGTGGCATTGGTACACCCCTAGTTAAAATATAAGTATTAGCTTCCCTAGCATCTATTGACATTAATTTCAATATTGGTTTAAACATATTCTAGTAAATATAAACAAAATTCCCAATTTTAGAAATTTAGAATATATCCTCTAAATTAAACTGCCCCTTGTTCATAGTTATGAGATTTCTGCCCAGTGAAAAATTATAATGTTTTTATAAATATAATCTCAAACCAATAAAAATTAAATTTTTAACAGTCCTCTCCAAAAAATGAATAAAATATGAGTATATAATAATCAATTTTTTAAAAGAAATGAGTCTGATGTTCAAAAAATTAAGCAGAAGCATTGTTTATAGAATATCCAAATATGAAATTAATTAGAATATGAAAATAATTCATGTTTATTTACATCTCTGTCATTTGGACTTGCTTGCAAAATTTGTTTTAGCCTAAATTGAACTTGGGCAAAATGGGTAGTAAGTGATAATAGGGAATTATTTAATTTTTCATGCTCTTTTTCAAGTTTTTTGAGATTTAAAATGTCTAAGGATTTAGAGGGTAAATATTTCCCAGAAATATTACTATGTTTTTCTTCTTCTGCGAAAGCGATAGTTTTAAAATTCTCTCTAAATTAGATAAATAATGAAATATTAAAATATTATTTCAACCTTTCATTCATAGGAGGTGAATTACCACCTAATGGAGGCCATCGCTCTGGTAAGGAATATAAATATAATGGTACATCCTCGAATAAATCTTGATTTTGTTGAAGATCTTCATTATTATTTATAAAATTATTTTTTTCTTGCATTTATGTTTTTTATTTTAATATTCAAAATAGACATTCAGAAAAATAAAAATTTATATCAATCAGAATTATAGTGACTGACAATATTGACATTCTACTAATCCTAATGAACATATTCAACTTCCTTATAAATGTTTTGATATCTTTTTTAAAAATACGCTTTATCCTCTTTTATAAACTATTTCATAATTGAACTAACATGTATAAATAACAATGATGAGGCGTCAAGTCTACTTCTATTATTTTTGAAATTAATAATTATCTTTTATTTAATACCTAAAAACAAGTATCCATATCATAGGCGTCGGGGGGAGGGGGGGCAAGGGGAAATCCCCCCCCCTCTTTCAGAAATTTATTAATTTTTGTAAATATCATCTTAAGCTAATGTAAAATATCCCTTTTAGTCCACCCCCCACTTCCTGACCCCCAAAAATGTATGCATAATTTTTAAACAATAGTTTGAAAGAAAGAATGTAAAAGTTGATATTTTTTTTATAAAACTATTCATCACAATTTATACATTTTTGGAAAAAAGCATTTATATATAAAAAAGGTAAAGCGAAAATGTTTTTTTATGAAATGGAATATAAGCCAAAGATAAGTCTTAATACAAGAGAAAAATATATTATAATTATTAATAATAGATCCATAAAATTACTAAATAATATAATATATCAAATATAATTTCTAATAAAGTGAGTAATTTTAATTTTTTTATCTTAATAAAAGTAAAATATAATTATAAAACTATTGATAAAATTATATCATAAATTAAATAAAAAAATTAAAGCACAATACAAACAGTGGAATATTATATGTCGTAGATTTACAGTATATCTAATTTTATCAATTATCATATGACAATCAAGTATTATTTTATTGATATAGCGAATTATATATTTTACAGAAAACTATAAAATATTGATAAGGACATCGGAAAATATCTTTGAAAGATATTGTGGGATGAATAATATGAAGATTAATGTTAATATCATTTTTTATTTAAAATAAATATATGGCGTTAAATAATTGAGTGCAAATTGTTGTTATATTTATTATCAAGAGCATTGATTAGTAAAATTTGTTAAAATATTAACTGTAATATATTCCTAAATATCAAATATGTCTGTAAAAGTGGAATTTTACCTAGTATTTTGTAACTAATTCTATATAATAGAGGAATATCAACTAAATGTCTACTTACTTTTTATAACCTAGTAGAAAGCCCGTCAAAAATGACGGGGAATGAGATTTTTATTCATTTTCTACGATAGATGTCATGTCAGGTTCAAGCTCACAATATTAGGAAGCATTCAAGATCTTATAATTTTAAAAAGGTTTATCAAGCTCAGCTCAACCCTTAATAATTTGTAAAAGATATTCCCAAGTCAGGTGCAAGCTAATATTAATTTTGAGGTTCCAAGCCCAGTCCTACCCATTAGAATTTTGAAAATTTTTTCCCGCCTCGAATATAGTTAAATTTTTAATATCCTCACATGAACGGGAAATATCTGATTTATAAATTAATCTAATAAGGAAAAAAAACAAATAAATTCCGTATTAAGGGAAACTGGGAAGGCCTGGGCAACCACTTATTAGAGAATCATGACAAATAAAATTAAAATAACCGACTCTTATACTTTTTTGTAATATGATCAATTAAAATTATATCTAAAAAATATGTTGTTTATTATATAAGGTTATTGTTGTTTTTCAGATAAATTTAATGTATGTCTTGCATTTCTGAAATTATTGGTCAAAGAATTTGATAAGGGATATATATTTTTTTATGTTAAGTAAAAAAAAATGCTGTCTTTTTAAATTACAAAAATGCCATTAAACACTAATGAAATTTATATGCAAATGATTTATATATTTTTTAAGATATTTTATTTTATTAACATATAAATTTAGGATAATCTTTTTAAAAAATAATGAGGAATATTTATTATGTATTTGATAAAATTAAGAGCAAATCCTTGTTGAAATTTTAATTTTTGATGGAAAAAGTGACAAAATAAATCTGGGCGGTCGACTGGAGAGGAAATAATTAATGTATAATTTTATATCATTTAGGGTTGTAGATAAAAGTAATGACGGATTACCAAAGCAGTGTACAAAACACAATACGTCCTGATAAAGATGATATGCCTATGAACGCAAAACGATATTTCTGTCAATGCATTGGTATCCCCCTCTAAAATAGAATCATGAACGACAATGTTAACTAAACCATAAAACGGTCGTAAGTATTGTTATAAAGGCCACGACAGAACTACTGCATATTTTTCCATTAATAAAGTTGATGAAATTGGCTGTACTGTACATTCAAGTTTGAACACGTAAAGCGATATTTCTGTCAATGTCAGAATTGGTATCTCCTTCTAAAATAGAATCATGAACGACAATGTTAACTCAACCATAAAACGGTCGTAAGTATTGTTATAAAGGCCACGACAGAAATACTGCATATTTTTCCATTAATAACGTTGATGAAATTGGCCGTACTGTACATTCAAGTTTGAACATTCCTCTAAATATTCATGAAAGTTTCTCAGAGAATCGGATAAAGTAATATTTATATTAACTCCTAGTGAAGTGTATGATAGTACAGAATTAAATGTTTATATTTGTTATAAAATAGGCGGAGGTAGCATAGGGATTGTGGTCATGGTGATAGAAATATCATTTGGAGAAATGGGTGAAAATAAAATAAACGTAGATATAAAACATAAGAAAAAAAAACAAAATAAACCTCCAGATGTGTTCATTTTGAGCGTAGTTCTTTATTATTTTATCTACCAATAACTCTAGAACGGGTAAGGCGTTTGTTTAATCTTCATTATTTTCTTTGCTTATCTTTAATAATAGATTCATCATGTTTTGTAGCAATGTGAGGGATTAGGGTTAGCCTAGACAAATAAAGAAATCAGGCAAAAATATAAATAAACTATTGTTGAAATTAAACAAACATTAAAATAATGTAAAACCGATAGATGGGTCAATATTAGATGCATATTTCTAGTAGTTAGAGGGCTATCATCGAAAAAAAATTTTTGGGGACTTATCAAGCCTATTATGATATTCTAAAAGTTAAAAAATAACATGATGAATGTAATGTTATTAAGATAAAGGTTAATTAATTGTAAGGTAATTAAAAAATAAGATTAAAATAGGGGGGGAAAAAGAAGGTATAAATTATTATATTATAAAAATTAAATTAAAGGAATTTATAAGGTTTTGAGAAATAGTGGTTAATAGATGATAGAGATGGAAAAAAAAGAATGAGATAATAAAATTTAGTGATAAATAAAAATATTTATATTTGTTAAAAAATAGGTGGAGGTGGCATAGGGATTGTGGTAGTAGTGATAGAAATATCATTTGGAGAACTGGGTGAAAATAAAATAAATAGATATAAAACATAAGATAAAAAAAAGAATAAACCTCCAGATGACTTCATTTCAAGCGTAGTTCTTTATTATTTTGTCTACCAGTAACTCTAGAACGGGTAAGGCGTTTGTTTAATCGTCATTATTTTCTTTGCTTATCTTTAATAATAGATTCATCATGTTTTGTAGCAATGTGAGGGATTAGGGTTAGCCTAGACAAATAAAGAAATCAGGCAAAAAAATATAAATAAACTATTGTTGAAATTAAACAAACATTAAAATAATGTAAAACCGCTAGATGGGTCAATATTAGATACATATTTCTAGTAGTTGGAGGGCTATCATCAAAAAAACATTTTGGGGGACTTATCAAGCCTATTATGATATTCTAAAAGTTAAAAAATAACATGATGAATGTAATGTTATTAAGATTAAGGTTAAGGTTAATTAATTGTAAGGTAATTAAAAAATAAGATTAAAAATGGGGGGAAAATAGAAGGTATAAATTATTATATTATAAAAATAATAAAAATTAAATTAAAGGAATTGATAAGGTTTGGCTATCATCAGAAAAAAATTTTGGGAGACTTATCAAGCCTATTATGATATTCTATAAGTTAAAAAATAATATGATGAATGTAATGTTATTATTAAGATTAAGGTTAATTAATTGTAAGGTGATTAAAAAAATAAGATTAAAAAGGGGGGGGGGAAGAAGGTATAAATTATTATATTATAAAAATAATAAAAATTAAATTAAAGGAATTGATTAGGTTTTGAGAATATAGATAGAAAGAAAAGAATGAGATAATAAAATTTAGTGATAAATAAATTCATTAAGGGAGGGGAAAAAAATAAAGAAAGAGTTATTTATAAGGATTGGAGATTATAGATAGGTTAGGATAAGAATATTTAAATATTTGAATATACTTGGTTATCTTCTTAATTATTGGTTATGAAAGAAAAATATGAGTATAAAAAGATTTCATTAATGTGTAATTGATAATATGAGATGAAAATTGATAAGGTAATCTAAAAAATAAAGAAAGGATTAAGTGAAATAAAAAGTTTCATTCATATTTACAAATTTGAGGGAATATTGTTTTTATCAATTCATCCATGTTAGGTATGTGTACACCATCAATTCCGTTCATCTGTATGAATAAAATAAAATAAAATCAACAAATAAAAATAAATACGTACCGATGACATGACTTAGCGATGACATGACGTAGCGATGACATGGCGTAGCGATGACATGGCGTAGCGATGACATGGCGTAGCGATGACATGGCGTAGCGATGACATGGCGTAGCGATGACATGGCGTAGCGATGACATGGCGTAGCGATGACATGGCGTAGCGATGACATGGCGTAGCGATGACATGGCGTAGCGATGACATGGCGTGATGACATGGCGTAGCGATGACATGACGTCACGATGACGTAGGAGGACATCGAAAATTATAATATAGATAAATTTCTTATACTTGTTTCGAATAAATTATTACCATGCTCTTATATTAATGTATATACAAGTAATTTATTATATTTTATATAAACTAATAAAAATATATTTCATTTATTTTTTTTATTAAAATTAACCTCCTATCTTGTAAAAATATTTTATGACTATATATAAACTAAACCCGGCCGAAGGCCCGCCCCAAATGAGGACTGGGGCGAAGCCTCCAGTAATTTTTTAATCCCCCCCCCTTAGGAAAATCCTGGCTACGCCTATGATCCATATGGTGAATTATATTATCTTATAATATATTATATTAATTTTAAAATTATTCCACAAAGAATTCATTAATCTTAAATTTTTCTAATGAGACAATTTACTTTATTAAATATTAGAACAATTTTATCCCCCCCCCCTTCCCCCATCAAATAAATTTTCGGTCCTTAAGCCAGGCCTTTGAATGTTTTTGGTAACCAAAACACCTCCAAAAATATTTCCGGCCCCCAAATTTAAAAAAATTGATGTTAAAAATCTTCATTAGCCATAAACCATTAAATCCAAAAGAAAAAAAGATAAAATTATTTAAATATATGGCTGTCAAAATATGGAACCCTCATAGGACATTTAAATTTAATATTACTTGGAAAAAAGGTATTATAGAGAAAAATACAGAAATATCGACGATTTGGTTAACCATCAATGAGCGTATTGATATTATTTGAAATGAATATTTGACTTTATACAACCAGCATATAAGCTACTTTTCGTGGGTCTGATTTCATTACAATGGTAGAATATAATTTATTCTTCAGGATTTTTATTGCAATATTTTCATATATGCCAGTGAAAAATTCGGAAAAAATTATAAAATTAATATCAATAAATGCCCAATATACATCAACTCATATTCAAATTGAATCATATCTATAATAGCAGAAGTAGTGTTAGGAACTATCTTAACAAATTTTAACAAAGATGAGATGCCGTTATTTGCCTATTAAAGCTGATGAGACAAAAAATTTAGCAGTTGTGAAAATTTGAGTTTAATTATTCGATATATTTTTTGTGAAAAAACCAAGAGGATTTAATCAAAATAATTGATATAGAAAGTTTTTCTGTTGAAGGCGTTGCAAATTACATATTAAAACAACTTAATGATCAAATCAATTACACCTTCTAGTTTATTGAGAAAATAGAAAATATAATATAATAACCCAAGCGAATAGTGGAGCTTATATCATGCAATGTTTACAAATATTTTTCTAATTTTAAAGATTATTATGAAAAAATAAAACCGAAGTTTGAAAAAATTAATATTTAATCAATAGGCATACCATGGCTTCTACAATTGTCCTCTGTATGAATACTTTTAAAATTAATTTTAATGAATCAATCAGTCTAGATTATTATATTAATGTCATTTATTGATTATAAAATTTTCAAAATAAAAGAATTGAAGCCAAAAGATTAATAAATGCATTATGAAATTTGAAAAATATATATTAGAATTATACAAAAATTATAGTTTAACTATAAAATAAAGTTATAGAATCATAGTCGCCTAAACCAAACTGACCTTTGTCCACTCTTGGAAAAAATTGCTAATAATGACATTATAATTTTATCGCTTTGTTTTAATGGAATATTATACCCCTGCATATTTCCAATCATTTAAACTAGTCTTGTCAAACTGCTCGATTTATACCGATTTTTAAAAACGGCTAACTCAATATTTTAGCCAGAAAAATATTGCCTAAGCCTCGCGATTTTGCTAATAGAAGTATAAACCTTTGTGCCATCTATGAGCAAAGTCTTCAGGCTTGCATAGTATTTTTCTGGATTTTTAAAAATCGGTTCAAATCGAGAAGTTTACCAATACAAATTTAAACCTTACAGTTAAAACGGTATAATTACTATTAGAAGATAGAAATTTTACATAAAAATATTTTTAAAAAAATGATATCTAACTAATATTATGGAAGCAACTAATTTTTGGTTTGATTTATGGGGAAAACAAAAATACCCAAGACTTTATTCAAATCAGTTTAACAGTATCGATTCTATTAACACAATACAGACATCAAATTTATTCGAGAAATATATATCGTTTTTCTAAATGCTTTATATGAAAATAATACCCCCGCTTGGAAAAAAAGTCAAAAACGAATGGCAATCTAATAAGGATAGTATATCTTACTTTTCTTGAGAATAGTAAATTATTCGATTAGTTTAAAAGAATTAAATACCAATAATTTATTATTCGGTTCATATGACATAATGAATACCATTAAAAAAAATCGTTCTTTAAAAATTATGGAAGAGGATATACACGAAAAAAGGTGAAGTTTATAAATTTGGATTATCGTATATCTTCGTTTTTCATGACATCTTTAATGTATTGTTCATATGATTGCCGAAAGTCTGAAGCAAATGAATCAAACTTCATTTTTTCAATGCTGTGCTTACCGGTAGGAATGTTAAGGCTGAGAATTTTATTTTTAATTTAAGTTTTAATAATTTTAACTTAAAATACGAATCCAGTACGGTGTGGTGATAATTTGAAGCATGCAGAAAGTGTTACTCTTATCCAAAGTATGAAGATGACCCCATCGAGTCATCCTCATTAGTTAAAAAATAGACGTGTTTTATAAAATGTAAAACATATTTTAAATTTTTGTAATATAACTATTAATTTTTATTAAAAGTGTTCTACATATTATTATTAAACATTTTTTTAAATATTATGTAATTACATACTTCTAAAATAATGATTTTGTGCCAATATCCTATCGATCACAAATATAGTGGAGGATGGTTTTAAAATGCCAACTTCTTGAATTACTAATCCTTGTGCTTATAAACTCAAAGTAAGTTATATATTTTTTTTAAATGCTAATTAGTATATGTAAAACAAGATTAAGTAAATCTGTATTGCCCAATTCAAAAGCCATATCTTCAATATTGAAAGCTCACAATGATTTTAGAGCTAACGTACACCCACCTTCAAAGGCTATGTTTAAATTGGTAATTAAATATAATTATTGTCAACGAGTTCTTCAATGAAAATCTAAAAGAAAATACTTTTTTTTATATTTAGGAAAGATAATGAAGGTAACATATTTTTTTTAAAAAAAATATAAATTTAGTTAACTCATTTTTTATAGCCATTTTATGTCACCATAATAATTATTTGAATATAAGGTTTTTGCAATGACGAAAATAGCTCTTAGAATGAAATTTTGTATTATTTAATTTTGTTAATATAAATGAACTCTAAAATATGAAGACGTGGAACATGGAAGGGGCTCGAAAGGCAGAAACTTTGACGCGAAAATGCAAATTTGAACATGATTCTCCGGGAAGTAGAGCCATATCAAGTTACGCTAAAGACTATATATATAAAACGATATATCTAACATGCTTTAATTCTTATAATTTTTAGATTATGAGACAGGTGGTCAAAATTTATTCGAAGGGACAAAATTAACACCTTGGGTGGATATCGTAAATTCTTGGTACGATGAGGTGAAAGACTTTAATTTTGGAAACGAATATAGTCGTGGCGTCATAGGTCATTATACCCAGGTTTTTTTTATTATTCATAAAGTTTAAAAAAATCGAATGTTCCTTAGTTCTTAAATATTTTTATTATACTATGTATCAGTTCGTTTTGGCAGTCTTTACTTGATTATTACACAGTGTTCTAACCCTATTTCGATTATTTTTTACAAGAGTTCGATTTTTTTAAACAAAATACAGCATATCACCTAGTGAAGGTCAACGGGACCGATTTTTTGAGGACCATGGTCCGGACCGGTCTTTTTATTTTTTATGGTCCAGACCGCGGTCCGGACCGGTCTTTTAATATTATTTAAGTTTGCTTTACTATTCAATTAATATAATTTTTTTGTATATTTTATTTTATGATATTTTTCTAGATAAGTTATTTTAGATTTTGTTAATTTTTATTTTACAATATGAAAACCATAAGTTTGTCCAAGAAACATTTTATTTATAGTTAGTGACCGATATCCTCGGACCAGACCTATAGTCACAATAAAAAACATATAGTATGTGTTCACTGCAGCACCAAATTTAATATATCGTCAGCAACAAGTAACAAAATAATTGTTTATAATTTTTTAAGCAATAAATTAATCAAAATAAGCAGTATTATTAAAATATTTTGGTTATTATTTATATAATTCTATATTTTCTTAAGAAACTGTCTGAATAATTTTGTCAAAATAACTTAGCCTTATTTTTAATAAAATAAATCTGATAAAACATGAAATATATACTTCTAATGATGAAAATTAAAATATCTCAAAAACATAATCTACTCTTAATTTTAATATGCCCTCCACAAGCACAAAATCACTTTCTTCAATACCATTGAATAAATTTTATTGTTTATATAATACTCTTATATTTAATAAAATGATAAAACAAATTAAATTAGGTTAAAAAAAATATGTCTTTTAAACAAATAAAAAGACTGGTCCTGAACCTGTCTTTTTATTTAGGACCACGGTCTGGATCGATTTTTTCCTTAAGGACCGTTGTCCGGTCCGGTCCCGTCCGAGAGTATCGGTCCAGTCCGAACCAAAGACCGGACCGTGACCTTCACTATTATCACCGGAGTAAAAAGATATTTTATTGCGTAGAAAACAATTTTAGAATAAATTTTTAGGGTTTCACAAAGTGTGGACCTCCTAAGGATATATAGACTTTAGACTAGAAGTAGAGTTAGAACACTCTAAGAATTAAGTAAAGCAATATAAATATTATTTATATTGACTTAGAAAGCTTTAAATTATATTAGTAAATTGTATTTTATATAAATTTTAAAAAAATCTCTATACAATTAAGTATATTACTTTTTATTTTAAAAAATAGCTAGTATGGGGAGCCTCAAGAGAAATAGGGTGTGGTATGACGGATTGCGGAGTATGGAAAATATACGCTTGCAATTATTATCCACCGTAAATGCTTTACCGCGTAATATATACGATAAAGATAGGATCCGTGTTATTTATAATATATAATTACTTTTGTTTTCTTTAAAAAAAAATCCATTTGCAACTCATCGATATTCTTTATTGTAAAAATCATACACCACCCATTGGTATTAATATTTTAATTAGTCTAATTATTTATTCATTTAACCTGTACACATACTAATTAACTGTAGCATTTTTAATATCATATGCGGAGCAGTATCAAAATGACATCTACACCACACCACTATCAATGTGCACTTTTAAAAATGAATAGTCAGCCTATAGTATATTAATGTCATTGACACCATCTTAATTCATAGAACGACACTAAATTTTTCACCTAGTAAATATTTTTAAATTCTAATGTTGTTAAACGACTCGATTTAGCTAATTTTAAAACGATTTTAGTCAAAAAATATTATATAAGCCTCGAGATTTTCAACTATGAGCGAAATCTCCAAGCTTGCGTAGTAATTTTTGATTAAATAGTATAAAAAAGAAAATAGCAAGGAAAAGGAAAAGGAAAATCTCTGCTGACCTAAATATTATTTAGGAAATTTACCATGAAGGTTAAGCAGAACTGCTGAAAGAAGTTCATGTTCTAATAATTATGAGAGAAATATTGCAAAGATGATTTGGGGATATCTTGAATAAGTGAATTTATCTCTTTAAAACTTTGTTCCAACTCTGTAATTGAAGGAATCATGAGCTGGGCTATTCATTTTATAAGTAGGAACTTCGATTTTTATTTTGAATGTATCTTATCTTTTTCAAAAGGCAAAAGAAAAGTCACTATTAACATAACTTAAAGAAAGAAAAGACTCAATTGGAAAATTAAACTTAAAACTGGACTAGTGTATCGAGCGATATTTAGTAATGAAAGACAATTTAAAATAGAATACACTAACAATAATTAGAAAAAAAATAAAGTCAATATATTATATCATCACACTAAGTGAGATGTTATTTTTTCTTAGAGGGAATATCAGTTTAAACAGAACCTCAAGCTATTCTTAAAAATCCACAAAAATGGTGGTCAGATAAAAGAATATGGGTATTAGAAAGATTCACATAAAGACCAATCTCAAACCAATCCAGAATTACAAAAATCCTAAAATTTAGCTAGAAAAGCATCGACGGGTATAATGCAGATTGTAGAGAAGAAGTATATACAATTAATAGTTTCCACAGAGAGTTGCCAAAAATTCTATTTTGGATAAAATATAATCAGGGTTATTCAATCAAACCTTGATGCTAAATTTTAAACCTTGTATAAAGTTTTATATCAACTTATATGAATATTATTTTTATCATTGAATTATTTTACTAATTTTGTCATAGTTCTTTAACGACTGGCGGAAAATAGAAAATGTCAATACTTAATGTATTTTAATTTATTACCGCAAAAATTTTATATGTGCCATGAGAATAAAGGGGGTCGTTTTTAACTGAATTGCATTATAAATATTTGAATAAGATTAAAATTATTTATATTTTTATCATTTTTTTAACTATATAAATATCATGATCACCAATTCATAAAGAAAGAAAGATCTTTGACTCGATTTTTCCCGTAAATGCATTCCAACTTTTTTAGAATATTTACCCCACGAATTTGAAACAATTTTGTTGTGAACCTTTGATACTACTCTTAATTTTTTATTATTCATTTATAAATAACATATTTTTTGTGTAAATTAAGAAATGTCAAAAATAATAATGGCGATAATTATATAAAATTTATATGATTTGATTAGATATTCTACATGTTGGAATACATTTTCCAGCTAAATCAGATTTTTATTTAAGAATTTCTCTGAAATAATTTAAAATAGAGGGATTCTGAATCCTTCCTCAGTTGAGGATTTCGGATAATCTAATATTCCAGAAATAATTGAACACGTATATAACTATCAGTCAAGAATGAAACTAAATATATAACTTCAAAAAAAAATAATTTCACATTTTTATATGTAAACTCGAGTAGCGAGCATATTTTTTTACTGATCTGCTATTAGGAAGATAAGGGATAGCATTGTATTGGATTAAGTCTTAATTTAGAATTTGAAATATTTTATAGCGTCTCTCATTCGGTCCCTCATATTTTTTATAAAAAACTTAAATATTTATAAAACATAAATATTTATAAAATATAAATTTATATTAGAGGCAATTACGAACGTTCATGGATTCCTTATGCAATTTCAAATGTCCGATCTTGTAAGGGATGTAAAGTAGGCACTGTATGCATTGACAATGGACCCTACAAAGGCATTCTATTAGAAAGATGTGGTTTGTAACATTATTTCTTATCGATTTTTATTTAATAAGAGTAAATGAAAGAAACTCCATAAAAACCCCAATGAAAAAAAATTATAAGAAAAAATAAATATCTGAGATGATAATTTTGCCAAAATTAGGTATGAGTTAAGGCATGACGTGTTAGAGATAAATATGAAATGACTATCCGTTGGTGTAAGATCAGCGTTATTAAATTCAACTGCCAAGTATAAGTATCTGTTTAAATTTTATATACATATGAGAGACAAAAATAGATGTATTTTATATATCGACGCTATTTACTGACTATGGCCGAATATAAGCTAGTGAGATAATCACCCATTAGGTAAAATAAATCAGAAACTTATAACAGCCTAGTTTATATAGAGTTGCAGAGAAGCATTATTATATTTCACAGAAACTTGGTATGCGCTAAGGATTATTGTTGGACCAAGGTTGTGCAGTGTCTACTTGATTTTACCGAAATGAGATATTGGCTAAAACCTATTGCTAGGAGTAGTATGTATGAGATAACTACCTTTCGGTACTATTAATCATATACTTACAACTGCTCCATCAATAAAATCTACTAATAAATTAGTGTCATGAGCAATTTAAAAATGGATGTAGATGTGCTAATATTTGCTTCGTTGAAACTAGGTTTTAGATAAGGCATAATGTTGGATGGGTTAGGGTTAGGTTGTATAAGATAGGATGGCTTTAGAGTCAGTGTTTTGCGCTTTTTTTAAAAATTGACATAATAAAATTGAGGCAGTTTTGAAAAAAAAATTATAATTGTTGAATGGTCAATATGTGAAAAAAAATATATTAATGAATAAAACACAAAATAATGGCGTTTTATTAAATATTATACAAGGCAAAATAATATTGATGTTCATTAATACATTTTTAGAGATCTTTTTCATTATTTATTTACTTGAGCCATTTTTTCATGAGAATTTTTTCTGACGTTTTTTTTCTAAGGGATTTTTCCGGGACTTTTCACTGAAAGTTTTTTCGAGACGTTTATCTGGGAATCTTCATATCAATAATTCTATTCCATTTATTCAAAGGTTTCAATCAAAAAGGGAAGCATATCAGATTAAGAAAATTTTTAAATCTCTCTTGATTATGTTGACGATTTAAGGAAGGAAGGAAGGAAGGAAGGAAGGAGAAGAAGGAAGGAAGGAAGGAAGGAAGGAAGGAAGGAAGGAAGGAAGGAAGGAAGGAAGGAAGGAAGGAAGGAAGGAAGGAAGGAAGGAAGGAAGGAAGGAAGGAAGGAAGGAAGGAAGGAAGGAAGGAAGGAAGGAAGGAAGGAAGGAAGGAAGGAAGGAAGGAAGGAAGGAAGGAAGGAAGGAAGGAAGGAAGGAAGGAAGGAAGGAAGGAAGGAAGGAAGGAAGGAAGGAAGGAAGGAAGGAAGGAAGGAAGGAAGGAAGGAAGGAAGGAAGGAAAGAAGGAAGGAAGGAAGGCATAGAATAAATTTTATGATTTATATAATGTATTTGAATGGACAACAATTGATATTTAAATAACCTTAGATAGTAAAAAAAATCATTTTGAATAATGAACACATTTTAGAAAAAATATGTCGAACCGAAGAGGAATGCAATGAAAATAACGGGAAAAAAAAAGTTGAAATTGGTGAGATTATTTTATAATATATAAATATTATATTAATTTTTAGATGAAAATATATATTTCCTCAGTTTCAAATCCAGCCCGAATTGACCATTCCAGGGCTCGGTCCTGCATGGATTTTTAAAATTTAGTTATTTTAAATAATTTTTATTTTGACCTCATTTTTAAAATTGGTTTAAAATGAATATTTCCATTATATAATTTTTTTTTAAAAAACTGATTGATTGATATTATTTATTTAGGAAATCAGCCCGGCCCGGGTTTGCAATTCTTTTTAAAATCCGGTCCGAGGCCTAGAGACTGGATAATTCTTCAATTTGTTTTGATTAATGCCTAAAATAAAATTAGGTAATAAAATGTCTTATCTGCCAAAATAAAGGGAATAAATAAAATTGAAATTTCTATTTTCCCCCCATTTTAAAATAGATACGTGGTACGAGTATGAGGATTCTGTTGATACAAAAGAATATAACTCAAAGAAAAAGGTGTCTTATAAAGGAAAAACTTCGAAAAAGAAATATAAGAAAAAGAAAAGGAAAAATGCGGGAACTTCTCCCTTATATTTCATAAGGAACGAGTAAATATTCGAGTTATTAAAAATTTTTAAGAATTTTACCCCTTAAAATATTTTTTCTTATTTTGAATAAAATGTTTTCTTTGAGTAATCAATCAAAAAAATCAACTTTTTTTTATCACAAGAACTGCTATTAAACCGCTCGATTTAGACCGATTTTTAAAAACGGCTAACTTATTTTAGCCAGAATAATACTCCTTAATCCTCAAGATTTTAAATGTCACCTTTGTTTCATCTATGCGTAATATTTTTCCAAATAAAATATTGTATTAGCTGTTTTTAAAAATCGGCTAAAATCGAGCCTTTACAAGCCTGGTCTAGTTATAATTTTACTCATTCCTCTTAATTTAATTATTTAAATGATATATAGTTAAAAAAAAATATTAAAGTTTTATTTTAAATAATTTAGAAATCGGTACTCAGTGAAAAGTGGACTGTTAGCTTGCCTGTTTATTCATCTAGTACGAATATTATTGTATTAGATATATATATGTATTGTATATACTATCTGGGTGAGTATCAAGCTTGAAAATATTATATCTAAAATTATATTAATTATTTAATAATGTTTAAAAAATTATTAAGTTCAAAAAGTTTTATTTTGTAATGTGTTATATTACTATATATTATATTTTATATTATTATGCATTATTTGAAATTTTAATGAATATTTATGGAATTATTATTATATTGTGATTATTATTATGTTATAGGAAGTTTATAAATTTAAATCGTTATTTTTACAATGTTATGTCGGGCACGTTTGGTGCTGAAGCATAACACTCCTTGGAAATTTCAAGTTTTTATAAATACCATTTTAAGGCTGTAAAAATCTCTACGCATCCCCCATCCCTCTCTTGTCGAAAAAATGAATAAAATAGGGCTATTAAATTTATGGCGAAGAGCACGTCCAATTTACCCCCCCCCCAGGAACATCATGACTACGCCCATGTGCAGAGGTTATTAATCTTATTTATCTTATAATGGGGACCTAATCTTGACTTTTAATTGAGTAGCAGGACATGGCTAGGATTTTAAAAAAATTGTATTGGAGTGTAGACTTTCATGTCATAAGTAAATTAAATGTTTTTAAATATTTTTTTGAGCCTATTTGGCCCCTTAAATTTTAACAACGCATTACTCGTTATAATAGAATCACTGCATATAAATTTTTATTCTACCCTTAAAATTTTTGAAACACCCCCCCCCCTCTCCCCACACACTCCCATCTTATCTTTAAATAGTACAAATGCACATATTTTAGTTTATAAAAAAAAATGAATTAATAAAGTGTTCAAAATAAATCTTTTAGTAGATTTCTAAAGGGCCTATATATGACGACTGCGTTCCCAATGATAGGGTCTATATTATATGATTAAACTCAAAATATTTTTTTAAAAGTATGTAGTTAATAATTAAATATGCATTTTGCTATCGATATCAGTTGTGGTATATAGGATGAGAAGAATGGATCACTCCTTCCCATTTGCGAAATGAAAATATTAATATAAAAAAAAATCCATCAAATTTTCCGTTCATATTTTTATAGTGATTTTTTAAAAATTTTTATTTATAATCTCATATTCATTCGAAAGTTCAAAACTGTAAATTTTTTTAAAAATGAATTTTGGAGAATTAAAAAATTAAAAATTTAACGAAAATGAGACAGATTTAAATAAAAACATGCCCAAAACAATTTTCTAAAAATTTCTAAATTGAAACAAAAATAATTTTAATTTGAATATTCATTAAAAATTCAAATCATAAACTTAATTTTTTTATGGAATTTATAAAAATAGATGATATGATAAATCAAATAAAAAAAGTTCTTAGATATACGTTTCTCAGAGGAAATATTGAAAAACATATATATGTTGGGATTAATATCAATAGTTGTAAGATTATAAATTAGTGTTTTTTAAAATATAATCTATTTAAATTTATCATATGAATTACTCTTTCCTTAAAATTTATGCCCCTTTTCCTTTTTTTTTATGTCAAACAAGTATAAGATAATAAAGATACCATTATGAAAATGTGATAGAAAAATAATGTTTTGAACGTTTTAAACCTTTTAGACAAATTTTTTTTTGGGTTTGTTGACATAGCTTAAATAATTTAATATTAAAAGACTAATGCCATTTAATCTAAGTAAAAACCCCAAAATAGTGTTTTGATAATTACTATTCCTCTTTTTCTATAAAGTCATTTCAAAAATTTTTTTGTTCCAATAAAAAGGGTGTTAAACATTTATAAAATTAAATGAACAATTTATTGTTAATATAATTAAATTTTATATAATTTTCACGTTTAAAAATTTTTTAGGATATTAAGTTAATGCTTCAGGAAATGAAAGTGTGAGAAAACGAGTAAAGGAAAAACCTTTGACATTTATTATCGATGAATGATAATCAATGAAGGATCTATATGTGTTTATTACCTTTGAGAAGGCTTATGATCTAGTTCTTAGGGATTCAATTGTTTAAGGGGAAAGAGATACTAGATGTCTACATAAATATAATAACTTTAAGCCTATTTCTATTCCTAAAATAAATATTAAAAGGATGTAATTGACGAAGACTTATGGAGCTTAAATTAAACTGGACATAATGAATAATAGAAACGCATGGAGGACTGGAATGGTGCTAATTTTATTTTTGAATATTCATAAAAATGGTATTAGTATATTATAAATTATATAAAATTATTTATTTTTTTTTGGAAACGCGATGCTTCCCAAAGACGCTACGATTTAGATGGGACACGCCCTTAGGAGTCTATAGATTGAGCATGACGTTTCCTTTAGTATAAGATGGGTGTTTAATCATTTTCTCTTTACAATTAGAGCAGCTATCACTAATTAGTATATTATTTTGGGGGTTTACCTTACTAAACAATCGTTCAATGGGGCTTGAGGGTATATATTGTAATCGTTTTTATTTTCACCATAACTAGTTTTTTATGCTCCCACTACTAAATAAAATAAGCAACAGCAGATACAATAAGGGCATAATCATGTCTCTGAGTCTATACATTTAAAAAATATATTTTTTTTTATACTAAAAATAGTAATTTTTTAATATTACGAACTTCGATGATCCCTTATAATATGATTGAAATAGATACAACATATTTTGATAAATAAAATAGGTAATTATATCAATTAGTAATTCAGATGATTTTAGGGCTTCTATATTGTTCGTTTTGTCTTGATGCCATTTTTGATATTTTCTTATTTTTCTAATATCTTTATTTCTTATTACCAAATAGACAAATGCACTAAACGAAAAATTAATTATTAAGTATTGGCTTAAACAAAAATTTGGGCATGGTGTTCTGTTTTTTTATCATAAAACTCGGTTATTCTTTAAGGCCTTAGCAAACTGATTAATGAATTATTGAAAAATCCTTAATTAAAATTTAACCTAGACAGAAGCCGGCACAAGGTAGGGCAAGAAAGTTTGGGAAGAAGCTTCCTAAAACACCCATTTAAATTTTTTTCTAAACCCCTGAATATATTAATATTGAATATAGATACAAATAAGTAAACCGTTCTCCATTCTGAAGTTAATGTTAAAATGTTAAAATATGAAAATATGTTCTTCATCCTTAACTGCATCTTATACTGTTTGATATTTTTTGATCTAAAAACAATTAAAGAAATTTTGGTATACTTTCTTACTATGACTACAAATAATATATACCGAGTCTGGTGAGATCTACTAATTTCGGGACTTTTGTTCAGTCATTTTTGACGAAATTATTTTTTGAAATCAATCATATTGGTAAAATATTTTTCAAAATTTATATATAATAATTAGATCTATTTTAAAATATACACTAAAATATCTAATTCCATTTTTTTCTATCTTAAAATTTGCCTTTGCAATTTTTTATGTACTTATCGTCTTTTTTTTTATCCATTATGGTTATCAGAAAACCAAATATTTTAAATCGCCATTATTAGCTATAAAAATAAAAGTAAATTAATATATTTTAAAAAAATCCAAGCCGGGCCTGAAAATATAAAACATCGGCACGGCGGGCCGAAATAATTTTTAAAAAAAAAATCCGAGCGGGGCTTGGCAATGCATGTCTCTGATGGTTATACTTAGCAAATTAAAATTTTTATCTAAATTCAAAACATCAAAAACCATGGTATTAACATTTGTCAACAAGATAATTCATGAAATCCTAATTGGCAAAACCAACTAAACCTTATTTTCTTACCTTTAAACTACTATTACTTCAACTTGAGTCATTTAAGATGCTGGCGTTTTTTTCACATGGATACTTTTTAACAAATGACAGCACGTATATTCGTCTATAGTTAGAAAAGATCAATTATGTTATTTTAAAATATTCAGTAAAACAGTAAATACATTGTTTTTTACTTGCCCAATGATTATTTCAACATTCGCTAATATGGGCGTCATATATATATTGAAGCAGATTAACTATAAACATATGAAAATATGTCTCTCAGACACCCAAACAGAAAGTAAATTCTTGGAAACATTAACCTTAACCATAATTTACCATCTACTAGTTGTCATATTGGACTTCAAACTGTAAAATCAAGCTTAAAAAAAATTTCCAATTAATCTCTCATTTGAAAAATAACCGTAAAGGCATTTCCCTTCACATCTCATTTCAATCCTTTAAAAATTATATTTAACCAGGAACAAAAATGATAATGTCCAACATTTGAAATCGAGGGATAGCAAAATCCTTTTTTTAGTGATCAGATTGAGCAATTAGTTTTGCGTTTGCCTTACTAAATAATTGTTCAATAGCACTTGAGGATAAAAAATTATCTATTGTAGTCGTTTCATTTTCACCGTTTACAAATATACTACAGATATATTACGCTTTATTACCAAATTATAAAAAAAAGCGTTTGAGGGTAAAAAAACTATCTATCGAAGTCGTTTTCGTTTTCACCTCTTTACAAATACTACAGTCTATTTAACCACTTTATTATACTCCGAAAAGAAATTATAGAAG